AAAACAAATAAAATATCCGTAACCATGGATTTTTTTAAATAGATAATTTTTAAAAATCAGATATGGTAAATCGCGGTAGCTAACAAGTTTATTAAAATGCTATTAAGTGGTGCTTAGTTACATCTTAACATCCGGCATGATTTATCATTGAGTAATATTACCCATACTGATCTAGACAGTTTATGTATTATCTAGACTGGAAACGTACTTAGCATATTTTTCAGTGCGCAGAATTAGTGTCCTATACTCAGTTTAATAGCACATCGAGCCTAGCCTTTAACCCTTGTATCGCTTAGCGTGCACTTTAAGGACACTATGGGTTCTTTTTTAAATTTCAAACAAACATTTTTGTTTCGACATGTCTTAGGTGATAAATATCTAATTTAGATTTTTACACTGATGGACGATTATTTAGTTAGCAAGTAAAACGGATCATACGGTGCACGGCGAAACCATTTAATGGTTATTGATTAGTTTACTGTGTTTGTCGATGAACCATTATATTAATTAGCAAAGCCCATGCTTAAAAAACAGTTTAAAAAATTAATACCTCCGACGCGAGTTAAACCAATTGTTATACAGATACACGTAAGCACGTAAAAAATATTTGCAAGTACAATACGAAAGCCTGTGATTATTTTGAATCTAATTTAGAGCGGGTATACAACATATTATACCTACATCCATGTATAATATTTAGCAATTAACATATACACACACAACATAATATGACGTCTTAATATTAATATTATGTAATCTTTGGCAATAACGTCGTACAACACTAAACACACAGCTCTTGTACAGCTGTTATCACATCTGCTTTCGCCACGTGTAAATGCTCTAATCACCTGTTTTCGGCTATTATAGTGAATACAACTTAAAAGTGGGGATAGCTGTTCATAGTATACTGTTTAGGTAACAACATAGTTATACAAACGATTGAACCATAATCTGTTTTTTCCAGTCGGCAGCCGTCATAATTATAATTACTTATTAGGCTCATAAAATATCGCACAGTTGCAATAGCTATGGTGATGAATTTTAGTTTCCAGTAAACTATTATAGAATTTATCAAGAACAAACGAGCAGAAAATACAATGGCAATTTCACACACAATTAATTTACGTCATTGTAACTGAACGTCCCCGAATCAAGACTTATATAGTGGTCTAGAGGCTTGTCTTTTTCCTAAATTACAGCTACTTACATAAGTACTTAATTTTAGCAAAATATAATAGTCCTGTATAACAGGCAATACTTGGTAGTAATTGTGTATTTTGCTAGACGATTTTTATGTTATTCATAACAATAGTATAGGATTTTTTCTTATTCAAAAGACATTTTAATCGCATTAAAAAAATATAGATATGAATCTAAATATAAGTGTGAATGCATATTTTTCTTTATTTTTACATTTATAACACATTCCTGTTCGCATTTCCTGCGATTTAAAACAACAAAAAATCGCATATTATATTTATGGTATGGATCAGTTTTCATAATAATATGTTACTAGAAAGTACAAGTTTATCAAATCATCATTACAATTACTAATTACTATTATTTTATGCAGGGTGTATCTGAATTAAAAGTTATGCCACACTAAAATGAAAGATCATATTAGTAAAATATCAGTAAAGATATTGTCGGGATTTGTTGTTAATTATTCATCAATAATTGACATAAACAATATTTGTAAAAAAAATCTGGTATAATCTATAGCCTGAAAACATAATATATTACAATTCTTAATTGGTAAAGTATGATATTTTTATAAAATTATAATAATTGTACAGTCTTAGCCAGATTTTTGTTCAGTTTTAATAATTCGTATAAAATGTTTTTTCTATGAAGATTTAGATACGGGATACTGAACCGGATTTGTGGTTAGACTGAGAAGGTGCCTTTAAAATGTTCTGGTTATTCAATAATCAAACAATAAAACATATTTCGACTTATTTGTGGCCCCCACTTATGGGCAACCACATACCTTAATCCGGTCCTGAACAAATAGAAAACCGTACTTACAAATATGGAAAACATATATCTTAAAATCCATATTATTTATTAATTAGTAAATTTCCGGTCAAAAAGAGTTGTATTTTTAATTGGAATCTTTTTGTAAACATAATTCTACATGTCCTCTACAACTCCATAAATTCTTAACTATTTGTAATTTTTTTTTTATAATAATTTAGGGGGTTGAAATTTAATAACTAAAGGATTAATTTACATTAAATTCAAGAATATTCGTATAGTTCGACTTTTCCGAACTTAAATACGAACCGTTTGGATATTATCGTGTACGCGTGAAGTAAGAGCCTTTATAGTTGTTTTATATTATGATTACCGCTTGCTTTATATTTAACACTGTTTGATTGTTTTCATGTTGTAGGTAGTAAGAAATTGAAGCGACATTCAATTCAATCATTCTGATATACCTTGTATATATTGACATGCGATGTTGACTGTTGTATATTAAAAGGTCAACAGTTCACGACAATCTACATATTATATAATTAACTTTTAAACGCATACAAATTATGTACACTTTGCCAATTGTATTAACCTTTATCTTATACTATAAATATTATAAATATTAGTACTATTAATAATTAATCGTATTTAAATTATTTTTATTATATCTAAGTAGGTACTTCCTCGTTTTTTTTGTGTGTGTTTGATTAACACGGAAAATTTTAACTTTCACTAAAAACTCTTCTTAAAGCAAAAATATGCCATTTGAAAATCCTTCTTTAGATATTTCGTGGCATAACTTTTATTAAAAAGATCAGTTTTATTGGACTGTAACTTAATAAAAAAAATTTCAAAGTAAGGAGATATCAAAATTTGATCATGTTATCAAGTACAAAAAAAAATCATGAGGAAGTGCTTAGAGCTAGGTATCAGAAATGTCAAAGATTTCTTATTCGAATAAGCTACTACCAATTAAAAGGGTAAGCCGCAAGAAAAAACAACAACAAATTAAAAAAAAACCTTAGATACATTTAGTAAAATACTTATAGTAAATAGTAAGCTGTGTCTTGAGGCAACCTTAAAAAAAGACAGCCCACTTTAAGGCTTTCAATAAAGTTGTATCTCTTCCTACTATTATTACATATACGCATACTTGACCGAACTTGAATAAGTTGTTCAAAACATGTCTGGATTACAATTTAAGTATAATGTCTAAAATGTATTGTGTAAATGTTTTGAAGAAAGCACGTTATCGTATTTTTTTGCGAAATTATAACAAGTCAAATTTCAAAAATGATTACATTTTTTTGAGGTGGATTTCTTTGGTTTCCTGAGTGAAATAATGATTTTATTGAAAAAAATTGCCCAGTGGTTTCAGAGTCACCAAAAATAAATACTTAAAAATACATCATTTTAAATATGTATTTGGCTTTGCATTGAATTTTATTATAAACTTTTGTTGTATAACAATTATTTAGTCATAGAGATACAATTACCTAACAATAGCATATCTCTATTCAAATTGGTGGAGAATTTGAGTAATTGTATTTTCATCATTAATGAAATAACATCGAAACAACTCGACTGAATATAGATAAAATAGTATGGCTATTTTGTATAAGGAAATAATTCCTTAGTATTTAATGGGGTCGTCTCTTCGATCTTCTTCCCAAATACGTGCCTCTAATGACGTTTTTAATTCTGGGTGGTTAACATATTTCAATGTTCCCAAGGTTAATGTTTTTGACTACAGACAGTTCGACGTGTGCAGACTTCTATATCGCTTTCCGCGTCAAAATACTGAATAAATAGGTCATAACAAATACATGTATAACGCAAATTATAAAACTGACGGCCGCTGACAGATTATTTCCTAGATGGTTTTAACTAATCGTTTAGCTAGAGAAAAAAATACATACATGAATTCTAAACTTATTTGCTAAGCTTTAGGACAGCTGTAATCCTAATATATTTCTAGTCAAATCAAAATACCGTTTGATAAACAGTGAACGAATACAACTGAAATTGTCATCTAGTGATGAACAATTAAACAGTGTCATAACAAACGCCAAACAACTTGATAACATACTTCGTATTTCCATACGATTTTGGTGGCTGTAGGAAAAATTTCGGAGATTTTGGTGGTTGAAAAAAGTGCATCATTTATTGTTAGAACACTCTCCTCCAAAAAAAGTGTCCGAAATTTGCCGCTGAGCTCAACCAGAAATTATTTGTTTGGAAAATTTGTAACGTATAGATGAAGTGAGAGCATATTAAAAAAAATAATTGTTTCCTAAGTAGTACCTAATATAGTGTCATTTGGTTTAAACTAAAATACTTATATACATTGTTAAACATAAACTAGATGAAATAGTATTGGAAAAATACCGTTTTAGTATTTTATTGAAATTATGCTAAATAAAATGGTTAATAATATAGAATGCCAAGGATGATTTTTAGTGGCTTCCTGTACTACACTTAAGTATTAGGCTAATGTATTCATGTGCAACAAGCCAGCTATTACGTCGTCGGTCGCTACGCTTCCGTTTTGGCTTTGTTCTGTAATAAATAAAAAAAAATTGGAATACTAATAAATAATAACAATGTATTTTTTTTAGTCTTCTATGCGATTTTTTTTTTTTTTGTAAAAGTAGAACTAACATATTTAATGAAGTGCGGCTGCCGAGGCCGTACGACTAAAACAACTATTAGATGCCGCCGCTGGCAGATATGTCCAGTGACCGCGGTATACTCAAGTACCGCGACCGTGGTCAAATATTTGAATTATCACTCGAGCCATGACTGTCGACGCGTGAGATGAAAATAATTGAATTTCCCGTATTATCAGTTTCCTAATCACAATGATATTATTCAATAATGTTCATAAATCACAATAACGTCACGACACGACCATTATTGTCAGTAAGCAGGTACTGTATTGTTGTTGTTATTATTATTATTATTGTTACCGCAAATTATAATTATACCCGAGACCGTTCAGTATGAGTTATTATCGAGTTTTATTGCTGTGACTCGTTGCCGTCGTCGAGGTAATCGGCGCTACGGTTGTCAATTTTCGATGATAATTTACAGATAAATTATCGGTATTTCGGTGTTGCACCTGAGCCAGCTAAACGCAAATTGATCGGCAATCGCCACGAGTCACGGCTAGCGGCGGCCAGTCGCAAATCACAACACAATAGTGGCGGTAACCGCAGTAGGGACTACCAAACGCAAACAGCCGCGGTAGCATTCGGTCGTCTCGTGCACTTCAAGGAAATCGTTCGGCGCGACCTGTTTTTTTTAAAATTATAATATACTTCCCGTGTTAATCGGGTTATATTAGCGTTGCCCGGCGTTAATAATACACGTTTGATGCCTACATCAGTGGTGCTTTTATAATAGTATAGTAGTAGGTTGTATATAGTAGTGGTAGTAGTTGTAGATCGGTTCGTCCAGCTGTATTTCAATGCTAACCGCTCGTCGCCACCGCCACCTTTTTTGACAATATTGACATTCAACGTATCTGCGTATTGGACAAGTTCAGACCGCGATTGTGGATAAAAAAATTAAACGCCGCTGATTTTGTTGTGAAATCTACGTTTTTACCGCAGTAATCGACGATATTTTTGGTTTTTTGTTCAACCACTTGTTGATACTGTCATCTCACCTCGCGTAAGTGTTTTCTAGCTGTTATACACATACCCATAATATGTAGGTACCCGCTGCGTTATGTTATCGCCATGTTATATAATCGTTGGTGTTTTATAATAATATATAATATGTTCTTGCTAAGTAGCATGTACATATTATACAAATTAATTTAATACCCATCAAAAATATCTACCTCCGTTAGTTGTGTCTTTATTGGTTACATGAAAACACAAAATGTTCTGTCAACCAGTGTTTATTAATAATTAATTTAAAACTATTAACCGTTTGAGGTAATTACCACCTTTTATTCATTTAAAACTAATTGGCAATTATAAATTCTAATATCCTTGAATACTCGTCTATAGTTTTAGGCTGATGTTATCAAGACACTATATTAGCCTAGTTGCCATTGTTAAACATTTTAAATTAACTGTTGTCCAGATAACAGTTAAACCAATTCAAGAGATTTTTTTCAATATAGGTTAAATGATAATGAAAACTTTAGAAATAGTCATGTATGTATTTCATTATTAAGTGTGATATTGGATTAAATTAGAATATTTTGGTCTAGTTTATTGTTGTCAGTCATCAATAAACTGAAAAATATTTAAATCATCGAAAGTAAAATAAGAACGTAAGCGAACAGAGGAAACAATAAAAGGGGTATTGTCTAGAATTTCTGAACAATCTATTTTATTATTAAACCGATAATCAGCAACCAAAAAATTTGGTGTCACTGAGCCAAATTGCAAATCCAAAATCAGAAGCAACTACACTTAGGTCACATATAAGAATTTACCTGCTGTGAACCTTTGCTATTTTTTAAGTTTCTCATTAAAGGTTTGTTTGATTTGAGAGAACAATTGATCCATATTCAACTATGGGGCACACAAGTGCACAATATAGACATTTTAAGCAAATTTGCTTAAGGAAGCCTAACATCTATAATGTTTTAGGTACTATAAATAGCTGATATATGCTCAGTAATAGATTTTATACTATTTTTCCATTTCAGATAACAGTAGATTATGCCCAATTTTTTAATTCTATTCAACATTTTAATTTCTATCAAACAAATACTAGACAATTTTTGAAAATTCAAATGTAGAGTTTTTGGTTTTACTAAAATTTTAAACTATATTCCTTATTTTTTCGTCTTGTAATTTTTTTGGTCATTCTATTTACAGCACTAATATTTTGTATAATTTTAATTTAATAATTGTAGCAGATTATTTTTATCAAAAAGCAAATTTTTTTCTTTGTTTTGCATTTGAACTGTGTACATTCTTATACAAATATTTGATTTGAAAATAGCTCATAGGTAATTTTACCTAAATGTTAACTATACCTATGTAAGAAAACCATGTGTTTTTATGATTCATTAGTATTTTCCCAGATGTATATTATAATAACAATTCACAAGGCCAACACAAAGGTCAATTGAATTGATATTTCGTTTCTATGAGTAATTAAAGACAAGTGATAACATTAAATATTTGAATCATGAGTAACCTAAAAATAGGGGTTTAACCATTTTTATTGTCATATACACTTTAAGTAGTAGGTTAATGATTATTACTTGATTATTCAATAATGTTTTCTATTGAAAAGATCTTTTCTTTGCCAATTTAAATGTATGTTGATTCGTATGTCGTTATAGAACCTACGAGTTATATTATCAAAAAGTTTATTTTATACTATAATATAAATGTTTTATATTCTCGACTAAACACAAAAATGTTTTACTTACAAAATATCCCCACAACGTATTCCATTAAGTTTTAATGGTTTTTACATACATTATTAAAATTTTATAGGTAATATATTATATTATAATTTTTTTCTTTTTTTTTTTATAGATTTTAAACGTTGCAAGTGAACATGGACGATTCAAAAGGTGTTAGGATAGAGACGACTGTCGTATCAGAAGAACCATTAATAAGTTCTCTAGACATAGCACTTTTAGTAGTAATAATGACTGTAGCATATTTTTGGTATTTTAAAAGAGATAAACAGTCTAGTGCACCAGAAAAGAAGCCTTATACTATACAGTATGTATTTAAATTAATTAATAAATTTCCCTATACATTAATAATATTCATATTTTCCAAAAATTGCCTAAAGAATGTTTTATTATAAAAGTATGTCTAAAATAAAAAAAGATGTTGATAATAAAGTAATGAGAAACATTCATTATTTTCATTTAGGGCTTACACAAAAATCCATGTCTCCACTATCAACACAGTAGTTTGTGTCTTGTAGACATAGCGTATTATTATTGTACATAACTCATTTAAAATGTTTTGTTTTTTTCAGACCTACTACTATGAACTCTTTTGGCCAACCGTCAAGTAGTTCTTTTATAAAAAAACTCAAGTCAACGGATCGTAGCCTAGTAGTTTTTTACGGCAGTCAAACTGGAACTGCAGAAGAATTTGCAGGTAGGATAGCCAAAGAAGGTGCGAGGTACAAAATGAAAGGAATGGTTGCTGATCCTGAAGAATGTGAAATGGTAATTGTTATTTTTTAAGTACTCATAAATTTAAATTTAATATACTTCCTAATTAATTTTTAAAAAATTACCTATTATATTTAATTATGTAATACTGAGCCATATTGCGCTTTGAAAAATATAAAATTTCAAAACTACCCATATCATATATCATAATCTTATAACATATTCAAAAACATTGTCACTGTCATGTTTTTGTTGTGCATTTTGAAATTTATCATCACTTAACTGAAAACGAGCTACAATATCAGTGACAATGTTTTCAAAATGTTGATTAAGTGTTAACACAAATTATTAACCATTATTGCAACTGATTGTTTATTACTTCATAAAATAGCTATTATATATTTTTAAACACAAAAGATAATTGAATTGCTTTATGCAAAAAGGCCTCTTTTACAAAGTAAAACTTATAGTAAAATGAAAAAAACTTGTTATTTTCAAAAAAGTCAATAACTATTGGATAGTAAAATTAAATTCTATAAGACAATTTTTTTTCAAATGCCAGTTTTGAATATTAGTATTTAAGAGAATGTCATATCCCCATTTATTAAAGAGTTAGGTATAGGCAATTTTTTGTAAAATCCTAATTAAAAAATTAAACTGTTGTGATGTGTAATTATTAGTTCAATAATTTGGACTCTTTTTGGTAGTTAATTTATTTTTTGAAGTATCACAGCATCCTCGACAGCGATTTAAAAAAATATTTTCATCTAAACATACAGCCATGTATTTTTTTCTTTTATTGGCTAAATAATTATCGTGGAAAATTTTGTTTTACATATTTAAATTTTTTTTTTTTTATTAGAAAAAATGTACAATCTGTACAATACAATATTCGTACATTAGGCATATGGTATGGTTAATATGTACAATTAGCAGTAAAACAGTACAATAACTGTATGTAAAATATACTTAACAAATTTTCGTTTATTGCTTTAAGAATTAAAAACAAAATTTCTGTAACATTAAACAAGTTTTATTAACTTTTTAAACAGCAAATATAATTATATATCAAAAAACAAATTTGTATTCAACATGTATTTATGTAAAAAATAAGAATAACTTGTATATTTCATAATATTAGTGTATAATTATTTGTAGTGTTGTAAATAGTTATCACAACACTAAAAATATTTTTATGAAAATAACAGCTATCAGTCCAATTGCTAATTTTATGAATTTCGTGATCGGCTTCAGTCCAATAAATTTAATGGTTTCAATTTTTTAATTTTTTTTTTTATTTACAATATTTGGACATTTAGGAACGGTTATAAAGAATATGTAATAATCACATTTTTGTCAAAATGTGTACTAAAAGTTAGGTTTTTTCTAAAATAATTTAAATGTATGTTAAAGTTTAAGTAATTACACTTTTAAACACATTACCATTTTTGCCTGGTAGGGCCGAAGACCTCGTAACCTACTATAAGACATATGACACATTAAGGTTATTTAGTTTTATTGAATTAATTTGAGTCTTTTATGTAGTGATCCATGAGTTATTTTTCAGTTAGAGTAAATATAACTATTTTATTGTTGGTTTTTTTTTAAAACATTTTTTTACCCATGACAGCTAACATTTTAAAGTTATTAAACTTATTATTTATTATAATTTATGTTAAACTAAACCATAGCACATTTTTTCATTAACAAAATGAACTACAGTACATTTGTCTATTGGTGTAGTGTGTACAATTAAAATATTATTTTTTAAGTTCAAAACAAGAGTTGGTATAAAATTACTGCTGCATTAAATGTTATGCACTTGTCTTCCTAGTTCATTTTTCAAAGTTGTTTGTGAAAGATAAAAAAGTCAGAATGGAATATGATTTCTAAGCTCTTTTGTTTCCTAAAGTAAAAGTTAAAACATACCTTTATTTATATAAAGACCGTATCAGAATTTTGTTTCTTATTAAACTATTACTTCTATATAATTTACACCTATTTTTTAATGAATAATTTACTAACTAACTATTTTAATGTTTAGATAATAATAAAAAAAAACCTGCTATTACATGAAAATTTTGTATTCTGTCTGCGGGTACATAGTGCGGGATCCCCGTTATTAGTATACGCAAACATAGAATAGTGGGAGGAGAGTAGACATAGTGTACGACTACAACACTGATTGTATGGCAGTATATGGATTGTTGAAAATATTATTTTATGGCCTATATTATAGTATAATAAACATAGTTATAAAAAATGATAAATATACAACACTTATTTGCATTTTTTAGGCAGACTTGGTTCAAATGAAGGAAATACCAAAATCTATGGCCATTTTTTGTCTAGCAACATATGGTGAGGGTGACCCTACAGATAATGCTATGGATTTCTATGAATGGCTTCAAAACGGAGACGCTGACCTAGAAGGATTGAATTATGCAGTAAGTGAGGTTATTTAAATTCAAATGATTATTGTCGGTTTCAGTTGTGTTCTGTTAAGGTTTCCTCATTATCTCTAGATTTTATGTATTCATCGTGTTGAACATCTCTCCTTTTGTGTAATTGTGTTTATGTGTGTGTATGTGGTTAGGTATTTAATTTTTTTTATGAGGATGATATTATCTTTTTCGTTTTTTAATTGCAATTTTTTTTTAATAGTTATGCAACGTAGGCACCTTTGTAAAAATGTGCCTACGTGATGAATGGGTACCTAAATAAAAAAATGTATTCACAATTGTTAAATTTAATTGAATTCACTTGCTGGTTAAATTGAGGTCAACCTATAGTTATAACTCACTGTATTCTCTTCATAGTTGTCATTCATGAATAGATTATAAATGACCGTTTGAAATTATAATCCAACCAATTATGAGGTGTGTAGAGAATAGAAATTAACAGGTTGTTGGTGAACACACAGTTAAATTATAATCATCTGAATAATATGCCAAATCATCATTAATGGTTATGCTAAATTAATGATGAAGAAATAAAATCTCTACAAAATACAATAAAAATATAATATTTATAATAATGAATTTGCATTAATAATGTTTTATTTTATTTTTATGTATATAATATTTTATTAGTTGCAATATGAATTCCAACATTAACTTGCAAAAAAGACTGTAGCTACTAGCTAGCATATTCATTTTTTATCAATTGATTGAACTTTTGTAAATTGTCTGCTTAAGGTATTCGGATTAGGAAATAAAACATATGAACATTATAATGAAGTTGCTATTTATGTGGATCAACGTTTGGAGGAATTGGGGGCAACTAGAGTTCACGAAATCGGTTTGGGTGATGATGATGCAAAGTAAATATAATTGTTTAGAATATTAAAATATGTCGGTGTAAGTATAAATTATATATTTAATTTTTAATAGCATTGAAGACGATTTTGTTTCATGGAAAGAAAAACTGTGGGAAAATGTTTGCTCACATTTTGGCATTGAAGAAATGGGCGAAGAAACCAACGTTAGACAATATAAGTCTGTAGATTGTTCTGCAGTTTTACCTGAACGGATATATACTGGTGAAATATCACGACTTAAGTCTTATGAAAACCAAAGATTGTAAGTAATTTGAAAAAATAATGTCGCTAAAAAATCAAAAGTTTTTTTTAATTTACTTTGTGTGAGATAATAGACCTGGCACTTTGAGTAATCATTTAGTGAAATAATCATAATTTTTAATTCTATATCTGATACAAAAATATTTAAAAATCATTAGCCTTAAAACTGTGTACTCTATCCACAGGTGTATTATTTGTACTATGAGTACACACAAACATAAAAAAATGGAAGTTTGGTGAACACAGTATATTATACCCTACCCAACTACATTACTGCTTTAACTGTAATGATAACTTACTAGTTATCTATATATTTAAAAATGAATGTTTGTTTGTATGTCTGTCCTTTATGCATTAGTACACCATTCATCCGATCGCCATGAAACTTTGGGAAGTTGTTGAGTACACACCCGCGAACCTAACTGGCATAGTACTTTTCGAAAATTGCACCCCTAAGGGTAGCCTCAAACAAGAACTTAATACTTTAAATACGACATATTTTTCGTTGCTAACCCAAAATAAACACTTTGTTTGTAACCACGGTACTCGAGCGAATGGTAGGTGATGATTAAAGGAACAGGCCGATTCTATGTACCACGATTCTGGGCAAGCTTTTAACTGTTGGAACTGGGGCCCTTGAGTAAGAGGTGGATATAACTACCTAAAAAAGTGTCACAAAAACGCTGTTATCTGTTAAGAGATGAGGGATGGGGATGAAGGTGGGAATGGTAATTATTTTACTCAGCCCTGGCAAACTGAATCCCAGGCAACGCCAGGTCCGGACAGCTTGTTATCTATAAACATTATGCTGGTGATATTTTTGCAATTTAATTATTTTATGAGTTTACCTTAAAAATGTTTTTATTTTCCTTAACTATAGCCCATTCGACGTGAAGAATCCATACTTATCATCAATTTTAGTCAACCGAGAATTGCACAAATCTGGTGGTCGATCATGTATGCATATAGAGTTTAACATTGATGGTTCAAAAATGAGGTACGACACGGGAGATCATGTAGCGGTTTATCCAAAAAACTCACCAGATCTAGTCGAACGGCTTGGACAGCTGTTGAATGTTAACTTGGACACTGTGTTTTCATTGTTGAACACCGATGGTAAGTTGGTATAACAATCACAGTTGGCTAAGACAAAGTTTTGTTTTTTAATCCTGACTTAGTTAAAATCCATATTTTTGGAATAACGCCAAACATTTTCTTGGGTTAAACAAAACAATTTTGGAAACTTTTGATTAAGTCTATTTTACATGTTTACAGAGGAATCAAGTAAAAAGCATCCGTTCCCTTGTCCGTGCACTTATAGAACAGCACTTACGTATTATTTGGATATAACGTCCAATCCCCGCACTCACATCATGAAAGAATTGGCAGAGTATGCAAGTGATCCAAAAGTAATAATTTTTATTTTATTTTATTCATACTACACATATTTTATTTACACATCCTGAGAACCCTATAAAATCCAATAATACATATTTTGACACGGAATATCTTATAGCTGGGGGGTGAGTTAAAAAAGTATAACAGAACAATCAAATATTGATGCAACAGTCTTAGAGATCAAGATAAGTTGATTCAGTATGAATAATGGTATATTAGTTATTACCTATTAATAAATAACTACCAAAACGATCAAGACCGTAAGCAGCATTATGTAAATTCTTATTCAAATAAAACATTTTTTTATAACTTATTCTCATTAAAGTTACTTATGTATAATGATAAATGAATAATAAATATTTATACTATTCTAACAGATTAATATTAAAAAGTAGGTGTGAAATTTTAGTTGTATTTTATATTTATACAAAATTATGTTTAAAAAAAAAATACTCCAAAACCGCTCTTGCAAATTATTATATAGTATAATTCAAATTATGTTTGAAATTATTCGAATAATTTTCTTTTTGATAGATAGTGTGTTATTTAAATATCGTTAAATGTAAATAATGCAAACTCTGGCCACAAGATATCCATAATCTAATGTTTTCCTACAATTTGGGAAAATATATTTTACCTTAAATTGTTCTTGTTTATGAAACAGCATTATTGCAATCTGTACCAACGGTAAAAAAGAAAAAAGGTGTAAACAACATTTGAAAAATAGGTGTTTAAATTTAAGTCACCATTTTACTTGTACAAGGCATACAACTTTATACTCAATTATATATTTTTGGTCTAAGCACTTTACATAGTCTATTCAGACTTAACTGTCTCTTGTGCATTTTGTCAAGAATTTTGTGTACTCATCTGTCAGAAAGCTTCAAAAAACTTGTTGTTTACACCCTTTTTCTTTTCTTCTTTCAGTATTATATTTATCTCATAAGGTGAGATTTTTTGGTTAGTTTTGTAATTTTTCCAATATAAGTAAATGAAGAAAAAGTTAAACTGAATAAAACATTAATGTAAAACGATTTTTTTAGGAACAAGAGAAATTAAAACTTATGGCCAGTTCTTCGCCAGAAGGCAAAAAAGAGTTTCATGAATGGGTGTTGCACAACAATCGTAATATTGTCCACATTTTAGAAGATTTACCGAGCGTAAAGCCAGATTTAGACCATTTATGTGAGCTTCTGCCGCGTTTACAGTGTCGTTATTATTCAATATCGTCATCACCAAAAGTATATCCAAAGTCTATACACATAACTGCAGTAAAAGTGGAATACGATACACCGACTGGTCGAGTAAACCAAGGTGTTGCTACTTGTTTGTTATCTCAGTTAATACCAATAGATAATCAACTACCGGCTCCTACCATACCAATATTCATTAGACGATCTCAGTTTAGGTGTGTACATTTATCAGTTTTCTTAATTATATGTTTTCATAATTAAATGTGTTTGTATTTTAGGTTACCCCCAAAAAGTCAAACTCCAGTTATAATGATTGGTCCAGGTACAGGATTAGCCCCGTTCAGAGGTTTCATTCAAGAACGAGATTTTGCACGAAAAGAAGGTTTGTTTATGTTTGAACCAACCGATTCGGCTGTAAAGACAAACCTTCTAAATATTAGTCAATTTTCGTTAATTCTATTAAAATACTTTAGGTAGAGAAGTTGGACAAATGATATTGTACTTCGGTTGCCGAAAAAAGGAAGAGGATTATATTTACGAAGAAGAATTAAATGAGTATTTAAACAATGGAACTTTGACAAAGGTAAATATTTTTTTTGCGTTTATTACAATTTATATTATTTTATTTATCATTATAATTTAAATAAAATGTTCTATTATGCATTTATTTTTAAATTGTAGCTTCACTTGGCCTTTTCTCGTGATCAACCAGAAAAATTGTACGTCACCCATCTGTTAGAAGAAAGCGCCGATGAACTTTGGAATGTAATTGGTGAAAATAACGGCCACTTATACGTTTGCGGGTAAGTGAAAAAAAAAATATTTTGTTTGCCTTTATCAAATGGAAAATATTTTTCTTTGCTCAACTTTTATTTTTCAAATTATTTTTACATTTTTTTATTTTTTTATTTAGTGATGCAAGAAGTATGGCCAAAGACGTACATTCTATCATTGTTAAAGTCGTTATGGAAAAAGGTCAAATGAACAACAGCCAAGCGCTGAATTATGTTAAGAAAATGGAACAACAAAAAAGATATTCTGCTGATGTCTGGAGCTGATGCGTTTAAATATCTAAGTTAAATAAAAACACCATATTATAAGTTTTTATTGAAAATCTAGTTCAGTAAGCTTTTGTTCACCAATCAATAATGTGTTTGTATATATATTTTTATTTATAAATATACAGACAGGTCGAAGTGCTTAGTATTGAATGATGGTTCTGGTTATTAGTGGAGTAAAATGAACAAAAAAAAAAAATACTGATTGTAAAATTTACCTACTACGTGTTAAATGTATGTTGACAAATGTATAGTTAACCACTATAAACAAATATTATAAATTTTTATTTTCTGGGAATATTTTAGCACTTTTTATGCTTAACATAATCCATTTTCTTTAGTTCTTCAATTTTATATTATTATTATTGTTTTACTAGTTGCTTAATATTATGTGTATGATAATTTGTATCTACATACAATTTAAATCTCCCATGTCCTACATTTGGTTTTACCAAATATACAATTGATAAAGTAATGTTGCAGATGTTTTGACAGGAAATAAATGTACATTATAAATTCAATGTATAAGGGTTAATGTTTTTTATAAATTAGGTTAGACTTTTACTGTTGAAAACAAATTATATTTTATGTTATTATAAAATTTCATAGAACTTTATCAAATTTGTTTGATTTGTTTTTTATTTAAATTGTAATTTTTTAAATTTTACACTGAATTAATATATTTAAATGTGTACATTTTTGTACTTAAATTACTGAATTGTATTTTAAGGCCAGGCCAATTTATTTGGTTAATGTACAACTTTTTATAAGTATTTTTTTTTTTTTTTTACAAGAAAAAAATGTAAATTTTTTCCAATCTTTAATAATAGTTACCAAGAAATGTTTTCATAAATAAACTTTAACACATTTCAGATATTTAAATTATAATTGTATTCAATTAATATGAATAATTTAGTTAATATTGTGATACCTTAAATCAATTGAATTTTTTCGTCGGTTCTTTAAAGTGTATTTGAGTTTATAGTTAATGAAAATTAATTTAAAAAAATGAAAAACAAGGTAAATTTTAATTTGTTTCTTAAAATTCCTCTTTTTTTTTTCTGGTCAGTAATTATTGTTTTATAGCAACAAGTTCAGTGTTTGCTTAGTATTTTTATTATATAGTTTACATGCTGTAAACGTAATTTATAAGCTTGTACATTTTTACTTAACACTGTATTGAGATTAAGCTAATTATCGAATAGGTTTATTTTTTTTTGCCTTGCCTTCTGTTTTCATATAAACTTGTTTACAATTGTTGTATGTGTTGTTTTCGATTTTATTTGTATTATCGACTTACTGAAAACAACTGTTGTTCAACAACGACTTGCTCATAATAATAATATAAGACTTGTGGGATGGATTACATTTTTTTTTTTTTTAAGTATTTAATTATAATTTATGGAACATTAGTAAATGTATAGTATAGGTGATAATAAAATAAAGTGTAGTGTAAAATGTATTAAATTATATTTATATACGTTTTATGTAATATGTTTGATGTGATTAAACCATTTGGTGTGTTTTCATTGGGTTATTTTTTTTGTCTAAAATAAAACATTAGTTGTGTACAGTCAAATACATTTTTATTATTCTGTATTATTTACATAATTTAAACACTAATCAAATAACAAATCTATATGTTGTTTCACTTATTAGCCGTATATCTTATATTTATTTGATTATTTTGGTTATATTACATTGTTAAAAGTTAAATTAAATATAATTCTTAATCCTTGTAAGAACACAGTCAAATTGGCCTGAGAAATTATTAGAAATTGCATTTTCGTTATTATAACATTTAGAATAAACTTAACGGTGATTTTTCAGTATGCACCTAATATTGACCAAAAATAAAAAGTTAAACTTCATTTTATTTACTAGTTATTCGTGATAAAGAAGTTTTCGGGTAACAAATACAATAAAGGGAAGAAAAATTATAGATAAATTAAATGGCAATATAAAGACAATACTATTGGCACCATTTGATATATTGCACAGTGGAGATTCACAACAATCTTGACAGGCGTAAATCTTATTCCGTTCTCCAATTATAATGCAGCCAGCTTCACATTTGACCGAGCAGTTTCTTTCGAGTGACCACAACTGTTGTGTTGATGTGCCGCTTTCGTTGCTTGTTGTGTACGAATAACGTTTTACCTAGCACGAAAAAAATTATTTATTTCAATGTGAATATTTCATATGATTATTTTGAAAATCAAACATTTAGAATGTGGAAAAAATGTCAAATTTCATATTTTACTTCAAAATAATATTTTCATTTTCCAGAATTCAAATAACAAAGTATTTCGATTTTAACTATTAACTCAAATAATTTTATAATGAAATACTAAACGAAATAATAGTATACTTAAGGGGATTGCATGCGGTCTGTTTTTCTAACGTTTAAGACCAAAAAGCCAGACAAATTTTCGACTACTTAGAACGGTTCGATTTCAATTCTGTAAAAATATACGAGTACCGAGTTCTTTGGCAACTTTACTAGGTTATGTAGAAAACCGATTTATGATGTTATGTTTGCTTTTTTTATGTAAAAAAATTGCAAATTTAATTTATTTAATAACAAGAAACTAATTTTTAAATGAAAATCGGCTTCCTACTTCTTAATGTAGTAAATTAACCAAAGAACTCGAATCTCTTTACAGAATTGAAATTGGACATGTATTCAAAATTTTGTCTGGCTTTTTGGTTTAAAATAAATCAAAATGGATTTTACTCATAGAAACAATTATTTAAATTAAAAATAATTCCTTGAAGATTATAAAAATAAGTAACCGGTAAATTAATTGACATGGTCGAAATGTTTTAAAATCTCTTTTTTTTTGCATAAATATTGCCTACACAAAACTACTTAAAAGCAGACCGCATGCAATCACATTAACGATGTTCATAATATGGCGGATGCTTTTAAACCATTATTTCTTGTCAATTCAGACTTCAGTATTTAAAAATTACCATGCAAACTTTCCTGTCTCCTGTGCATTTTGTCGAGAACTTTATGTAGTCATCTTTGTCCGTGAAATTACTACAACTGTTGCCGTTTACCATAGTGTTACATTCATAACAGTACATGTGGTTTTCTTTTTCTAAGGCTGCACTCGTTTGGTAAACTTTTCCCGACAGGTCCACTGGAAATTAAAAAAAAAAAAAAAGAGTCCGCTTATTCATAATATATAATTTCAGCTTCGATGAAAAGCCGCGAGAAAATATATTAATGTTAGATGTTTTTTTTTTTTTTACATAAAATGACTATTCTATGATCTTTTTTTTTTCATTTTATGCTTTGAAGCCAGTTGTCTGAGTACAACTCGAACTATGGAAGGCGATGGCACAGTAAATCAATCCCATTAAAATTATATAATTTATTTTCACTTGGTAATAAATTGTAAAAAGGTGCCATCGACTATGTACAGGGTGATCATTTTATCGTGAACCACTCAATATCGCATTGGGTTGATATGAAATTAAATTTTTCTTTATTATATATATATATATAGCATTTTAATTATGGTAGTGCCCTATTGTATGCAAGTCGCATTTAATTTAAAAAAAGATTGTAGGTGACCGCTGTAAACAAATGTGGTATCCTATTTAATTCCAAAATATCTTCATCGGTTCACTAGCAATGGACTTTGTACTACGATTACCAATTAGTGAGCGACCTAAACTCCTTTACAATACATAAAATATAAATATTATTAACTATATTTTTCTGAACAAATGACCACATTACCGGTCTAGGAAATTAAAAAGTCGTACAAGAGATATTCAAGAATTTATCAAATGTTACTAATATATTAACAGATGACCGTTCAGGTGTATTCGGTAACACCAAAATGTAAAATTATAAATTATTCCTTGTGAGCTACGATGTGTAAGATTTTTATCTGAAATGTTTTAAGACCAGTAGTCGAATTTCAAATAAATCATCGATGGGACTAACTAAGCATAAGCGTGCTAAGTACATTTTTATTTATAATACTACAGGAACAGCGTAAAATCCTATTTTACACGTTATCATTTACCACTATAACATTGAACCGTTGACTTGCACTTTTCATACACTACGTGCAGAATGCTATTAAAGACCTATTGCTCAATACACTTAACTCAATTTCTCAGAAAAATACAAATATTATGATAGTAAAGATAACATTATAGCGATGAAATAATTAAATGCCCTCCTCACCTAGGTCGCCGCATTGCGCCAAAATAATAAAGTCGAGGACGGCAAATACTAGCAGTTTCAATTCCATGTTTGTCAATCTTGAAGGTACAATGCTTGTTCTGTATGAAACTGTATTTAAAGTCAACGGCTCGGTTTAATCATTTTTTTTCTTCAAGTGAGACTGACACGGCACGTTGATGACGAATGCACTACACTACTGGCGTGTGCTAAAACTCTTACGGCCAATGTGGATGAAAAAATCAATAAGAAAAGCTCGGACGCGCACGTCAACGGCTTTGGATTTGGATGCGCCGAATCTCCCGCCAACTGATACATTTGAACTACCTCCACGTGCTATTCGGACCATATGTACATCTGTATAGTATGCCGACAATATTTAACGGTCGAATCGCCCGAAAACATAAAATAATTAAAACCTTTTCCTCTGCAAGGGGGGAGATACAAATTGTATTTTTTTTCAAATTTTAGGCGTATTCCGAGGTCTTAATGTCTAAAAAAAAAAAATGGACTAATGGTAGATCTAGCGTGGCTCTATATTATAGACATCAAGTCTAGATTTACCTTATATTTTTATTATTATTAGGGAAAAACAAAAAAAATAAAACTCACACTTTGGCCGCATACAATTACAAAACTACTTGAAACAAATTTTTTTGAATTTTTAGCTTATATTAAAGTTTTTAGTTTATGCGTCAATTGTGATCATGTCTAAATGTTCTTATTTCAATGTGTTAAAAATACATAGTTATCTAATTAAAAAAAAGTTTAAACAATCTGTAGTTAGATAACCGATAAATATACCGATGATTAATCAACAACTCAAATAATACGACAATAAAACATAAATTATATAAAATAATTTATATTTATATTGAATAGGATTATCAATATGCTGAATGTTATTAAATAATAATATCATTTTTAATTTAACGCTCCTCCTTACATACAAGAACTATAAAAGTCCCTCGGTTTGGCGGCGAAATGTCCTAGACCCCAAATATCAAACAAATGACTAATAATTATATTATTATAATTATAAAATTGATAGTAAAATCATGAGAAAACTTTTGTTGAACTCGATCGTTGATTAAGAAGGTATTTAAATTTTTTATTTAATCAATGATTCGAATGTGATGCACACTGCACGTTTAAAAAGAAGTTCCCTTCAGACTGTCACACTGATTTTTATTTTGATGGGGTAATCAGCTATAAGTATAGTACCAACTACCATAATATTTTTAATTATAATTTTATTCTAACCCCCCCCACCCCCTCTCATAGAGTAACAGTTTGTTTTTGTTTGAAACCTGTAACTAAACTTATTGTGTAAGTACAGGCTAAACTCTTTTCAATGGGCTACAGCAGTGTTTTTGCTATTATAAGTATTAAAGGTTAGTAAAATAACTACGCATTTCAATGTAGGATCATGTCGTTGTAGTTTTTGTTTTAAACGGGTAATATATTATGCTGTTGTAATTCAGTTCGGTTTTCCGTTTTAGATTGTGAAAATTAAAAAACTTAAAAAAAAGTAAATTAAGATTTTGTGAAAATTGTTTACACTGAACACTCCTTAATAAATAGGGATATGTGTTGTCACTAGTTCATTTATTTGATATCTTAAATATGTTTTAGGCATTTTTTTGAACAAGTAAATCGCATCAGTAAAACAAGTATGGAGACCATTGCAGAACATTGTAAAAACTTTTATCATTTTTATCAGTAAGTCATAAATTATGTATTATTTAAAGCTACCCATTAATTATTATTTAAAATTGTTTGTGCTCTTTTAAATAATGCCCTCTGTCCTTGGGATGTATGTAGTTTTGACTGTAATTGTACAAATATTACTTGAAATCTTTGTTGATTGTGAATTTTAACTTGTAATTTTTGGGAAAAATGTACAGCAATTTCTTTTTTAGTTATGAAAGTATTTCAATAAAGATACATATGAGGTGTCTAGAACCATATCGGCCCAACCCGCAAAAAATCAAATTGTCTTTTATTTGAAAATATGTTACAGAATTGTATGTTCTACCAGTGCCAAAATTATTATTCGCTAGATAGCAGCACATAATTCATTTTGTCATTGAAATTTTAATAATTATCTTCAGTGCCTAAAAAACTTAAAATGTATGATTGTTCTTTACATGGTCGAAAAGCCATTAATTTATTCATATTTAAGTGACCATATTTTTTTTCGTTTGGTTTCATTTATTAAAACAAAACAAAAAAAGAATAAAAGTCAAGACTTTGAAAGCTCGTGCTGTAAAATTTCACTTTTGAGGGTTGATATGGTTCTAGACGCCTCATTTTAAAATGGGAAAGATCTACAGAATTTATTATAAGATATAACTAAAAGTGATAAAACAAATACTACAATACAAAAGCATTGTAAAAGTTATAATGTGCTTAAATTCATATTTCTAGTCTTAGAGTTGATCAATAATAATTTGTTGCCAATTTTACTCATACATATACTAAGAAGTGCAATTACAATTACTCTATTTTGCTCAATATAATATTAGTAATTGTATCTTCTTTTATTTAAATTGCTGTAATTTTCATTAAAAGTTCAAGTAATATTTATAAAATTACAGTGAACAGGTCAACAGGTATTTGAAAATATTTCCATTATATTTTTTATTTAATTGTAAAATACAATGTAATCTATTAACTAAGAGCAATCAGTTAAAGCTATTATTAATTGTTGATACATTTTTTTTATACATTTGCAATATATTAACAAACATATAATAAAAAAAATTACAAGAGGGTAATTAATGTATTAATAACAACATATTATTATATTTTAAGTAAAAAACAAAAAACATGATAAAAACCACTAAAACAAAGATATGAAAAGCTATATCAGGTGGTATACAGACTGGGTTTTTATGGATAGTATTATAAATACTTATTAGTATTTACCACACTATTAACCAGTGATGTTCCCATCAAATTTGTTGAGGGTATACTCAGCACAATTTTAACAAAAAAGTGTTAAGGTGCTAAAAACAAAAGGTCTTCCATATGCTATTTCCAAGTATATAAGTTCCAGAGTATAACCTTGGTGTAATAAAGGAATGAGTGTTTTAATAATAAAAAACAAATATTTTATAACTTACAAAAACTATATATATATATATATATATAAATGTTTTTTTTTTTGTAACATTTGTGTTAAGCTATAATATTTTATGTACGGGACGGGTTATGTATCTTGTGATGGAAGATAATATTTGAAAACAAAATAATATAAAAATCAGATTCTATTTTTAGCAAAAATCAATAAAATCATAAATGGTCGGCCGTCGGTTACCGCATCGGTGTAAATATTAGTCTGCATTCACTCTAATAGAGATTTTATTTGTAATAAAAATTAAATTGATTTATATTTCTATAAAGAAATGAACCTACAAAAATAATAACTATTTTTTTCCGCAAATTAATTTAGACTTGAGAGTATACGCAGTATACCTATGTTTTTTAAAAAAAATCTTGAGAGTATACGGTGTATATGGAGTATACCCAATGGGAACACCACTGCTATTAACATACAATAGTTTAATCTTATAAGTGGTTAAGTGCGAATAAATAGATTAAACAAATAACATTTTATAGAATGAATACACCGTTTGATGTAACCTTGGTAAGCAATAATGGCTTAGAAATTGAAGCACACAAACTTGTATTAGCATCTGTAAGCTCTGTATTTTGTTCGATATTCAACGGATCATTTAGAAAAAGTGAAGTTATCATAATAGAAATGGACTATAAAATCTTGAAATCTCTTGTAAAATGCGCATACACATGTAGACTTAGTATAACGGATCACAACATTGAGGTATTTATTACAAATTAACTTAACGGATGATTCACTAACTATGAACCAGTCTATATTTCATAAGGTTCAGTTGTGTACTAAATTTACAATTATTTAACAGTGTATCCATGGTTGAAATATACAGGTTATTGCACATTGTCTCGAATTGTTATCTTTAGAAATAAAATAACAGCATAATGGGATATAAATTTTACTATACACTTTAATATTACTATATATTTTACTGTGTACTTGTATACTTTATTTTGATTGAGTACTGTTACGCTGACATTTGATTTTTTCATCAAAAACTTGATGAAGAAGGGGTATATGTGCAATAACCTTGTTTAATTTAATCATGAGTGTATCTATGAGAAATTTGAAATAGGTTATTTTCCCACCCTTATACCTTAAACTAATATACATACTTTTGTTTTTCAAATGGTCATATATGATTTCAGTGTTAAATTCATGAATAAATATTTCAATATATTCAAGTATTATTAAATTTATAACCATTTATATTTTGCCTTATAGTTTTTATGTATACTGTAAGGCATTATGTGGTATTCATGGTTGTATAAATAAACAAACCTATTTTGTAGACAATACTGGTCACATCACCAGTAATGTATAATTTATAAGTATGAATTTACACAAGTAGTATATAAAAGAAAAAAGATTTTATTTTTAATTGACAAGTATAACTATCAAATAAAAATTAGAAGTTACTGTTTGAAAATAAAAAGCATTAGTTTAAAGCATAAGGTTAAGGAAAGACAATTTTTTTAATATTATTCATAGATTTAACCATCATTGAAATACCCAAAACTATTTTATAGTTTTATTTTTGTTTTAGAAATTTTTGAAAGCTGCTAATATGTACGATTTAAACTATATGAAAAAACGGTGTCATGAGTTTATTAAAGAAAATATAAATCATACAAATTGTGTTAGATTTATGCAGACTTCTAAGTTTTTATCAGACAAAATAATTTACAGATTTTGTTGGTTGTACTTCTTAAAGAATTTTGCGTGAGTAATAACGTTCGACAAAGGGTCAAAACAATTTTTAAAATATTCATCTAATAATGCACAACGTTTTTTGTAGTACCATTGTGAACTCAGATATAGCATTAGCATACCTATATGAATTTAATTTTTATGATGTCGTCGAATTTATAGCAAATGACGATTTAGTTATTGACTCTGAAGATAAGGTAAATTTCTTTAGATTAGCTATAATTACTTGTGAAGTTATTGATTATAATTATAACTTCATGTAAGAACAGAAAAAAATTAATTGTTTTCATGTTACGTTGCAATTATGTTTAATATTATAATATTTTGTAGATATTTGATTTTATTATTGGTTGGATAAACTATAACTCAAAAAAAAGAATGCACTTGTTATCGGATCTCATAAAATACTTACGTTTGAATTTAATTTCAAAAGTAGGACTTAAACGGATCTATGATGAACCTTTAGTGAGAAAAAATAAGGATTGTAAGTACATTTTTATGTTGTCTATTCACCTCACTTGAAATATACAATAATATTTTAAATACTGTTCCAGTTAAATATTATCACTTTGTTTATTTGTTATTCAAGATATATATATATTTTTTTTTTTAGTATTGTACAAAAGGACAGAAATTATTAATTTACTTTTCGATTCAAATCATCCAAATGTATCAGGAAGAAACTTTTCAAATATGTCTAATGTATGTGTCTAGTCTATGTTAACAAAATTTGAAATCTCGTGTTTTACACGCTTAATACTATTTATATTTTCTTAGTTGTGTACTAATATTACATCACATTTGTATATATTTTTATTCAGATCATTTTTGCAATTAATGGTGGTACAAAAAACGGCCAGTTTTGTGTAAAGTATATGGATATTAGAAATGAGGATTGTTTAAAATGGAAGTCATGCGATCATTTATTTTTTTGTCCTCCCCGTAATTATACAAGTATGGTTGTCTCTGAAAATGGAATAATACTTGCAATTGGCGGAGTTGATAGCTCTGGTAAAGATGTCAATCTAGTAGATGAACTAAACCTTAAGTCCACATCAAAACAATGGGTTCCTACAACACCACTGAATCGACCTCGAATAGATTTTGCTGTCTGTACACACAAACAATACATTTATGTCGTACGTACTAATTTGATTGTAGTTTTCATCACGAAACCAAATTTTTACAAGACAAGTTTTTTTTTTTTATAGATCGGAGGCGTTGACATCTTAGCCCGACATCGTTTAAATTCAGTAGAATACTACGATACAATTTTAAAAGTATGGAAAAAAATTAAACCAATGCCCACTGCTCGAGACTCGTGCAGTGCTGACATATATGAGAATCAATTATATGTTGTAAGTAAACAATATAACAGCTATTTAACCATAAATACCATATGTCCAATTACTAAATAAGTTCCTTCTTATATCTTATTAATTTGTATAACAAAATAATTGAGAAATATTAATTTAATTAAGTAATTATGGTTCATAAGAATTGAATCAAGTTTATTGTTTTATGCAGTTTGGTGGAGATAACGGAAATGATCTTGCGACTGTCGAATGCTACGATTTTAAAGAAAAATGTTGGAAAATACTCAATCTTATGCCGATATGTAATTGGGGCATGAGTATAAGAAGAATAGAAAATGTAATTTATCTCATTGGTGGTAATAAGGCACCTCACCGAGTTTTTAAGTTTGATTTACATGATTTTAAATGGGATGAAATGCCTAACATGCAATTGGAAAACCAATATGATTCATCAAGTCTGTCTATTGAATTATTACAAGAATATTTTACATTTTTTTACTTATAATAATTTTCAAATGCAGGTTTGGTTATCAAGAAAAACGACTTATTTGTGTTTGTCAATTATTATGGAGATATTCAATGTGAAAGATACGACACAGACAAAAAACAATGGCAATTAGTTGACAAGGCAAAAAGTTTTTCCGATCGATTTGAATATGGTTGTATTATTCATTTTAATGATAAAACCCTGAAATCATATGGTATTCACTTATAATACTATATTTTTATCAATGCCATTTTGGGAATTAAATGTAATTTTAAAATTATTTACACAATTTGTTGTTATTTTCTATCACAATCTATACACTTATAAGGTAATTATAATATTATTTTATATTAATAAGCTCTTGTGAATTAAAATTTGTTTTAAATTGACTATGTATTTTTTTTGTTTTTAATTTTGATTACAAACAATGTACTGTTGATGTACCGTTCAAATTATGTTGAATTTTTTTCCATTAGCAGCCCAGGAAGCAGCCTTCTCCATCCTAAAAAGCTTCAAATTCCACCAACTCCACTTAATCCTGAAAGAAATATCAGGTTATCTTTGCGTACTCGCAATACGCAGTTTTTTATTTTATTGTTAAATTATTTAAAAATTATGATGTTATTAATTATTGTTGATGTATTTAAGTAATGTCTACAAATATTAACCAAATTATCTAAATGGTTTATGGCTAAAAAACATAAATATATACTAATTAAAATTAATTAACCCCTTTCTGCATAAATAAATTATTTTTCTCAAAAAAAAAAAACGTGTATCTAGATTTGGGGTCATAGTTACATGGAAAAATATTAAAAAATATTTGACCCTAAAAAACCATAAGTGTAATGTGTGCCATAAATGGAAAATTGCGCACCAAAACAAAATTTTTGGACCTTATGCATTAAAGTATGCATCGCTATAATGTGCCATACATGGGACTTATGCGTTATGAAATAATAATACTTCCATAATTATAACATACTATATTTATTAATTAGTATATCACATTACTTGTTTGTAATCAGTCTTTGATTATTTAGTATCTATATTTATTAACTACAAGCTGTCCGGACCCGGCGTTGCCCGAGATTTAGTCTGCCAGGCCTGAGTAAAATAATTCCCATTCCCCCATCCCTATACCTCATCTCTGATCTCCTATCTCTTATCAGACAACAGCGTTTTTGTGACACTTTTTTCGGTTATTATGTCCTCTTACTCAAGTGTCCCAGATCCCGTTCCAACAGTTAAGAGCTTGCTCGAGTACCGCGGTTACCATGGTTACAAAGTACTAACCAAGTGTTTATTTTGGGTTACCATGGTCACAAACATTTAATTTATTTAAATTTCGTATTTAAAGTACAAAGTTCGTGTTTGAGGCCACCCTTAATGGTGGAATTTTCAAAAAGTACTATGTCAGTTAGGTTCGCGGTAGTGTACTCAACTACTTCCCAAAGTTTAATGGCGATCGGATGAATGGTGTACTAATGCATAAAGGACAGACAAGAATTCATTTATATATATATATATATATATATAGATTAAAACAATTAAAAACTTTTAGTAGCTCAAGTATTAACAATTAATTATTAATTAGGCAATATTAATTAAAAAAATAAACATATCACATTACTTATTGGTAATCAGCGTTTGATTATTATCTTATATTTATTAATTAACAAAAAAATTAAAATTTTAATAGCCCAAGTATTAACAAAAAATTTCGAAACAATACTTTCTGTGCATGTTGTACCAAATATGGCACATATTATGTGAACTGTTATTACGCGTTAGTGCCATACAATTTCAATATATCTTATCAACTATTCAAGCTACAAAGATGTATTAACATACATTTTGAAATCTGCAGCAAAAATACAACAGACTACTGACTAATATTTTATTGTTTGACAATCGGTGTTAAAAAAATCATGTTATCAAACTCTGAAAACGCGCGAAAGTTGATAACGCCGCATCAAATATTTGATTAGATTTTTATTAAATTATAGAACACACATTTACCGATAGATAGAAGTGTCTTATATCAAAATTGTTTAGTTTTTCGTGCCGAATTCGGCCATGCATGAAGCAACGTAATTCGTAAACGGATAAATATCAAACGAGATAGGTATTTGAGAAAAACTAATTTGTGCCATTTATGGGACCTTATGCAGAAAGGGGTTAACAGTAATTAGGATAAGAATGCTATTTTGATCCAGCTTCATTTGAACAAAAACTCGGCATATTTATAAATCGTCAAATCGAATATCGATACAAGTTTAATGAGTATTCGTAAGTAATAAATAAATCGTTTTCGACGAAAAAATGAATGTTGTGATAAATAGCCAAATAAAATAAAACATGATTTACTTTCATTGCTTCATCTAGATGCAAAAATAATACGAATAGTTCCAAACTTTATTATGTCTAATAAAGACCACTAGATATTTACATTTTTATCTTTACCTTGGGCGTTTCAAGTTTTAATGGATGCTAAAAAAACAGACGTTAGCGAAATATAGACACCAGTAAAACTTTAGAAGACCTCAAGGCAAGACATACAAACTACGTACATAGTAAAGTAAAATTCCTTGTAACCAATCCAAGTAGGTCATAAGATGTTATATGAACCGTTTATATAATATATGCGTAGGTACGTAATAAAGGCTGTATATCATTTTATCCTTCAGTTATAATAATTTATGTTTAATTATTATTTTGTGTGCAGAAACCGGTATTGTAAGAATCCTTAAAATATTTTATAGTATTTTATGGAATATACAATACTCCGCCATTATGTATTTATACTAAGCCGATTCAATATATTCTATTCCTATATATATTTAACCTTATCTTACCTTATTTTAAATCTTTCATAGTTACCCATCTGTTATCAGCTCCTTTGTCCATTTCGTACATCACCGCATGTAGACAATTTGAGGTGTTTAAGTAAATATGTATTTATTTTTTTGTAATTTAACTGTTTATTTTTCCTATAGTCTACATTAAGTTGACTAATTATTATATAAAATAACGTTAAGGGTAGGTCGACTTTAAAAAAACAAAACTCGTTAAACGTTTCAAAAAAATATGTATAATTTTTGCTATCTGGGAAAAAATCCCCGGAAAATATAGCGACAACATAGTAACTTTTTTAACACTTAAAAGTAATATACACAAAATGTATTTATAAGTTAAATGTAATATATATATATATAATATAAATTATAACTTAGTTACATAAAGTTTATCTTTTTTCTTCTGTCAAGCTTAATACGAAGGCGGGTTTATAAATGTCATTTTGCCAGGTACATCTCCATCAATGCACGGCGCTCGAACCAAATTAAAATAAATTCTTCCTATCACAGTACCAGATTGATGCTTTGATTTTTTCAGGCAATTGTAAAACCTTTGGTCACACTTGCAATGTGATCTAAACAAAAGTAATAGCGAGTAATTATTACAAGGTCGTTTTGAAGAAATTTAGTTTTAAGTAAAAACGAATTAAATATTTATTTTTCAATATTTATATTGATTATTATGTAATTTATAGTAAAGATTAAGAAAAGTAATTTTTTAATTTCCATAAAAAAAAGCTACCAAGTCAGTTCATAAACAGAACCATATAAAAAGTTAACCATGTTGTATTTTAACTCCTTGTTATAATACAGAAACTCATAAATAATTATAGTTAATTTATACTATGATTTTAAATTTGTTTCTACATTAAGATATTTATAATTTATTTAAAAGATCATTATACACATTATATTGAACACTACATGTTTTATTATGCAATATAATTTGCAATTTATACGTTAACATACATTGCATTCGTGTTCATAAAATTATAATTAACTCCGTGCGCAATTTAAATCTATGCAAATTTGATTGTAGCTAAATAGAATATGCATCTCGAGTATTAAATTTTAATCTCATAAAAAAAATATTGATTACCATATTTACTCTATTGTATATCAAGTGTTAAAACCCATTTTGCAGTTATTTTCGCTGACATTTTAATTAGAGGAGAAACGATTATTAACTGGAAGCGTTGATTAATAATAAACAATTTTGTTTTGTTTAATTTATCTTTATCATGATAGTACAACTGAAAAGCTTTTCTAATCAATTGCGACTTAAATTAGTAAACGAGGGGAAGGGGGTAGTAGTTTTGTCATTGTGTTCCAAAATACCGAATCATTAAATGTACATTACATTTAAACAATTTCTGTCGGCTATACCGTATACACACTTCTGTAAATAACAAGTATTGACTTCGGTTACTTGTACATGTGTTTGCTTACCTCGTGAACATGGAATCGTTTGTGACGTTATATTTTGTGGAGTGTGCTCTGACTTTTGTAGGACATAAATCGTGCGCTCTACAGCACACGTCCAATTTCACTAGCGGACCGAGATCAAAATAATTAGTCGCTAAATCGCCGGTACCACACCATTTTGTATCTGTAAGCAAATATTAATTTCCTATGTTACGGTCACATATCGCATTATTTTTGTAGCCCAAGTACCTAAGTCGTTATTGGCCATATCGTAGCCAGAATTTTGTTTTGGCTTTTGCGAGACGAGGGGAGGAGCACTAGTTATAAGAAGGCTAAGCAAAATTTCGATGGTTAGAAGGTAAAAGGGCATAAGCGCCAATTTCCAAATTGTTCAGGATAGCCGAAAACCCCTAATATCCCGCCAATTCCGTGACCTCATATTAAAACATCGGTTGTTGATTATAAACACATGAACATATTATGATATATCGATATCTAAGTCAGATCAATCCATGTATAGCCCCTCTGGCCACAGCACTAGTGTCTGAGAGGGTAATTGCTATTATGAAATCACTACTTAGCGTCCAACCGTGTTTTGTACTTATAAATGTTTTTACTAAACGATAATACGTCAATTAAGAAAAACATTTCTAGTCACAATATTATTGTTTAACCGGTATATTATATAGGTAACACCTGTATTGATGTAGTAGCAAAGAACTGCCGTATTAAAGTACTGAAAATTGGTACAGTAATCCCACCGTGAAAACATATAATGAATACGAAAAGAAAAAAATTATATTTTGTGGTAGTCGATATTGTTTGTATTTCAATTTTATTTGTAGAACTAAATTAGTGCTATTAGTGTTATCTAAGCAATAGTTAACTATTGTCAAAAATTATAATTATGGTTTATTGTTTTGGACAGTATTTTTTCATTTTCAACACTTAATACGTTTTAAAATAACTTAAAATTTATATGAAGAGTATTTAATGTAATTTCGTTTAAACGAAATAGCCTTAGGAATTATATTTACATTTTGATTGGTAAAAAATGTCACGACGGAGTGAGTGACGTATGCTGACAGATTTTTAATGTAAACTGAACTTATTGGTTTTAAATCACACTGAATTAGCTCAATGGTGAATGAATAAGATAAACTAGCCTGGGTCATTACGGAAATACATAAAAATTAAAAATGCATTTAACGAATCAGTCAAGTGGACATATTCATTCTAAATTATATTATATATACATATATATATAGTTAATTAAAATTTAATTGTATTATGTTGGTATGTTTATTAAGTTAAAACTAAATTCGTTTTTTCGAAGGACGCTAATATTATGGTTTTATAACTGTGCGAAGTTAAACTACCAATTTACAGTAGTAATAATGTAATAGTTTTGCTTACTTTATATATATATATATAATTGTGATGTCAAAATATTTTTTTTGTAATTTAACGGGTAAACTCTTGGAATAATTTTGATTTCTCGAAATTGACAATAGCTGTTTTGGTTGACAGTTTCATTTGAACAAGGAGGAGCAAGAGTTAACCATCTGAACCGAACGTTATTCAAACAACGGGTAACACAATATAGTATGAAAGTAAGAAAAAAACAGAAAATTCAAACAATGGAGCGTTCGTTTGAAACGTATAATTACTCGAAATACTTTACTAGCTGTGCAAACTGAGAAACTATTGTCTGAGAAAAAATGTATTTTTGTTTTCGGTCTTTAAATAGTTTTCATTATATATAAAAATTATAAACAATACAAAACTAGTACACTTGAAGAATAAAAAAAAAGCTATATATTTAAGTCCGTTTAAGCGTAATAAGAATCTCTAAATTTGGATTCTCTTAAACAATTTTAACTTTAAGAGAACGCCAAGCTAAACAAGTTTTGGAGCAACTTAAAGCTTCAAACAATAGAAAGTCTTAACTGTTTAAATGTTTGTTAACTGATTGAATGGTCATCTATTCTTGTTTTAGCCGTCTTTAAAAGCCTAAAAAATAGAGCGGACGAGTTTATAAAATGATATAAAAAGTTATAGTAATTTAAATTTTGTTAACTGCTATTCAGGGACTATCTTTACATGAATACTTGATCATTTTGGAGGAACAATATTATAGATTTCAAGGATGAATAACAACAATAACATAATTTGTTATTAAATGACAAATTGAAAAAGATACTTCTATTACACTATGGAGACTACCAAATGGATAAAACAGAAATCATTAAGTTGACGCTGAAGTCTTTTTTTAGAGCTACAGCTATTGATTGTACTTGTAAAGCAATACGTAGAACTTTTTTTTGAAATTTATACTGCCGCCACACTCAAAATTGTAATTACATTACAGGTCCCCTGACAATATTAGGACTTTTGTTTTTTGGTCAGGCAGTGAACTAAGCATAGAACTGTTAACTATTGTAATGTAGAGTTCACCGAGTTTACCTGGAAATATTCCAAAAAATATTGAACTTTGCGTGGTTGATTCGCTATTTTCCGAACCTTGGTCCGGAGTGGCATCGGAAATTCGCAGGTTTGCATTTATAATGTTAGTATCCAAAACTGGATCTAATAGGTCACATTGTTCCATTAGATTCATCATTTGTTGCAAGTTGATACGCAATGGTTTGTTTATTCTTGTCAAATTTTTCAGCAGAAATTTACCATGTTCTTCGTTACTGAAATCGATAAAAAAAAATTAGCTATTACGATTTTAATTGAGTAGAAAATTACGATAGCAGTTTGTACTATACATAATATAATAAGAAACAAATGTTTATTCTGTGAACCACAACACATTTAAAAATAACATTTATTTTGTATTTTATCATTAGACACTAATATTTTAAAAGAGTTTCACGGTAAAATATCTGCCTGCTCCACCATGAAATTGTTCATACCATTTTCACTGTAGTTTTTAAGAATCATTTTTTTGTGCTTTCTGGGGATATGTTTAATGAAGTATAATAAAAACATGTTGTCTATACACTAATCTCATTTTTATCAACTATTTGCAGACACGCTTAATTATCATTTTGAATGTTTGTAATCGGTGACGTACATAGGAAATAATTTCCGGGGGGCGTGGGGTTATAAAATAAGAATACATTTAGTTAATGTTATAAATTATCTTTGATTAAATGAATTCGCACATGTGCACCCCCAAAACACTCCCCTTTACACGCCACTGCTTGTAATGGGCTATGGACTAGTATGAGTTATTGCTTGTACCTTATTCGACTAATATTTAAAACGCGTTACGTGGCCTGTATAATATTATGGCATAAATGGAATATGACAACACAATATAGACAAAACATTTAACTGTGACGCTCTCCTCTTCTAAATAAAGTGTGCACACACGACCTTGTATGATTTGCAATATTTATATTGTTATATTTTGTTTTTGCATTATGGCTACATTTTATTTTTAAAACGGAGAAGATCGCAAAAATAGATGACAAAAAAAAATGGTAAATTGTTTCTTAAAATATTTAATACAACATTCAAACAGGTGCAACAAGGTCAAATGATAAATGCAATCGTTTGTGTTTAAACGAATTTTGAATTTATTAGAGTATTACACAATTTTTAATTACATTTAAAGTACCGTGTGTTTTTACTAGTATAATAAGTTCATAAAACGTTGTAATTAAATATTGGTAGTATACAAGGTGATTCTTTTATCATGGGCCACTCAATATCTCATAGGGCTTGATAAGAAATTTAATTTTTCTTTTCACATTACTTTTATACAATGTGTGATCTCAATTTTTTCCATTTTTTTTTTGGGGGGTTTTACCCTCCTCCCAACTTAGTTTTATTGACAGCAACTTTTGAATGGTAAACACACAGTATATAAATAACTTTGTTAAGTTAAATGAAATATTATAAATTGAGCTAAAAGTTAAAAGTGCGAATAACTTTCATCTTAACTTAACTAAGTGTTTATTTAAACTATTAGGATAATTTGTAAGCTTTTCTAGAAATACAATTTTTTTTATTTGGATAACAAAAAAAGGGTTTTTTTTATTATTAACGCGAAAATATTTTACTTAATTTTGGTACATAATTTTACATAAACAATTATGTAATACAAAAGCATTTATGTAAATTTCCAATACCCAATTTAGTACGTTACAATGTAAGTATTCGTCATTTAAAATATTATTTAAGTCTAGTCGAAATGACAAATTACTCATAAAAAATGTTTAACTGCATAAAAAGAATATGCTTAGGTAGGTACTACGGGTGTTGACTTATATTAGTGAAAATGTAAAAGCTAAACAGATTTTACGTTTAACCATAATTTGTTCATAGAGTTCACATACTATTGTAAGCGTTAATAATAATACAAAATACAATAATAGGTGTCTTATTGTTGTGATAGTAATGAATATAACATTTTAGGTATTTTAAAAATATTTCGGTTTACACTAAAAGCTTGTACAAGTCGTCATAAAATTTAGTTAACATTATTGAAAAAGTTTTCGTTTTATTAAAACAAAATATATATTGGCTTACGATTTATTTAAAAAAAAAATTTCACAAAGTTGACTAAATAAATGGCGAAACTACGAGAGGATTTTTTGAGAAAGATAATATGAAAATCTTTTAAAACATATGGACAAAATGGCTGACCATGGTTTAACTAATATATATGGACTGCATATTAAATTCGCTGAAGTCATTAGATAGTAGATACTACAGGTAGACATTAAAAATAGACAAAACTACTTGCTTTGAAATATGTCATGGGATGTATTGGTTGTGTTTAATAATGACCTAATAGTTCAATGTTAAACATTAACAAAAAAAAAATAGTAAAACAAAATTTTCTAAATAGACATTAAGTGATGAGACCAGATTATTTTAGCTTCCATATTAAACACTTGGTATTTTTGATTCGGGAAATATATATATATATATATATATATATATACACATATTATGTTATTATTATACTTTATAGTCATGCGCTAGTCGAACGAAATGCAATTGAAGAGCGATTATAATTTAAGTACTTAAACTAAAACGCGTTAAACATATTAATCAGTGGCCGATATGATTTCAACAGAATAGTGTTCAATGCACGTCTGGCGCGTGATGTCTGGCAAGGAAGTCGGTAAAACGATATTACTGAAGTGTATTACAGTCGCGTCCGTTTTAAACTCAACAATAGATTTCCCTGACAGTTTGCTTGGCGAATAGTTTACCCGGAAATAAATGGTAAAAAAAAAATACCATTGTCCGTTTCTTAAGTAAAAAATGATTGGCTTAAGAGCGAAATCTAAGTATTTGTTTCTGACAAATGAGTGTCTTCTCATTCCTTGGATATGGAGGCTGTTAAACCTTCTAAAAAAAAAAAAACTGAAGATCGAGGACAAAATGGGGATGGGGTCAACCTACAGTGATGGCAGAGTAGGAGAATGTGAGATGGCTGAGGTCGACAACGACGACTGAGAAGGATAAAAAGAAGATTTCTAAGAACACGGAACAATCAAGCTATGCGAAATGACACAAACGAGAGTAATGAAGTTTAACATAATAATAACATTATGGGTTAACCCGGTGATTTGTAGATAAATTGGAAACATGTCTAAATGCCTTGTAGCAGCTGTTTGTTATTGAAGAGTATATCGTTCTGGTACTGTGTTCCAGTCTAAAGCAGAGTAATAAATTACCGAAACCTCCGAAACCCGCAGTCATAGCGGACAGTCTAGGTTATTATCAAAATAATAACGATAATTATCGTTAACACTGAAAACCCTGATTGTACGTGTAAATATTTGGACCACATTTTAATAATTTATAGAAAACAATATAATTATCGAGTCAGTTGACACGAACGCAACACACAATTTCCATGTTGATGACAAGAGAATTGTGATTTCGAGAAAAGAAAATGTTTGAGAATAGAGAGTAAGCTGATCAGATGGCTGGCGCGTCATAGAGAAAGTCTACATTGACGTCACACAGACATTTTTATTTTCAGTGTAGTACCTACCGATGCGATAAAATTTGAAAAAAAAAAATCATTATTTATACCGATTACCGTTGACATCCTTGAAAAGCATCTTTACGGCTATTAATTGAGGCTCCTTAATTTTAGAGTAAAACTAAAATTGGTTAACTATTACGTTGAAATAGTTCTAATAAACGTAATATCCCTCTTAAATTAATTGTACTGCCACAAATGTTTTTAATAACGATCTATATACATAATTATATTATGTTATTAGAAGATTATTCCAATACTTTTGTATTGACTGATCGATAACCAGTTTGTAACAAATATCTAAAAAATTAACTTTTTTTAACAATAAGTTAAAAACGTTTTAAAGTTAGAATAGGTTGAGAGGTAGGTAAGCGTGAAAAATGCAATGCGTTAATAACTAATACATGATGTACGCACAGTAAGTGAACATATTATTACCAAAATAAATATGAAATTAATTCACTGAACAGTACATAAAAACACGTTTTCAAAATGTCAAAAAAATTGTTAACATTTTGAAATCATGTTTTGGCAGGAGATTAAATGTTTAGAAAATAATTTTTTTTTTTTTATTAAAGAATATTTACAATCTATGCTGCAAGGCATAATAAGCAAATAGTTACATTGTTATATATACAGAGAGAGGAAAAAAAAATAAACAAATAGAAACGGTGATTTGGTATGAGGAGGGAGGCTATCCAGTGATAGAACCCAACGTGATTTTTGTTCTAATTATTTTTAATTAGATTAATTTAAATTATTGTATTAACAGATCTCGACACCAATGTCTTCGGAGTCGGCGAGGTGGATTTCCGGGGAGTGAATTAGAAGCAAGTTGAGATATTAAAGGGTTAGAATGAGTGTGTAATTTGGAATGAAATTTTTTGTAGTGTTTTATGGCTAATTGGTTTATTGATTCTATTTTAAAGTCATTTTGAAGTGTGCAGTTTGATACATACCATGGGGCGGAAGAGATAATACGTAGAGTGATAGATTGGAAAGCTTGTAAGGTACGAAGTTGGGATGGTTTTGCACATCCCCAAGAAAATAATATTAAACAAAAAGTCGTTTAATGTTATTAAATATATAATATTAATAAATATTATTACTCAATATTATTACATAGTATAAAATATAAAGTCGAATATTATTTTCGGTAATATTTTCAAAACCACGTTTTGTAGAAAATATAATTTTTTAAACATTTAATTTTCGACTAAAACATACTTTTTAAAAAAATACTTCAGACACATTTTGAAAACACTAATATTTTTTTGCTCTGTGGGATATTGTGATTACTTTAAAATAATAATTTTTTTTTACTTTCAAATTTTGTTCTTATAGTTTTAATTAATTTAATAACTGTATTTACAAAATGAGTTAACAGAAACTCACAAGATCTCGATGAGTTCGCAGTTGACCAGTTCTTTGCCTTTGCCGACTTCGACTACTGCAATGGTTTCATCGTGATAGTAGATCATCCGCAAAGAAGTTGGGCTGACCTTGATTCCAGAGTACGACTTGTATGGAAATTTTATTGAAGCCACACTGGCCACGGCACAGGCAAAAATGCACAACGATGTAATCGAGTTCATTTTTTTTTTTTTTAGTTTCCTTTTATGTTTCAAAATCGTCAACTACATGGCAACAACGCTGACAATGAAGTGCACACTAAAATCTGAAACCAAAAAATTTGCCATATCGGTGTAAGTAAAAAAAAAAATGTTTAAAAATATGGTAATAAGACACATTAACATATTTAAAATCAATTAGCGAACAATATGTGCTCATAAAACAACATTTAATATTTAAACGGTTAGGTTAGGAATCCGACTGTCTAATTAAAACGAAGCACCGCGATGGCCCAGGACGGGCGTTGAGGTGATATGATTTCTGTCCAGTGCTCTCGATGACAGCCTGAAGGAATTCAAACAAAAGGAACTGTGATTTTCGCCCGAACGACTTGGCCCCCTGTGATGTTGTAAGGGGAAAGTATCCTCGGTTCGATTACTGCGAGGGTGTCCGAAACCCCGCCGCCTACGTCTGTTCTTAAATATCAAGGGTTGAAAATTTGCAACATGATTTTATTTAAACAGAATTAATGTACCGTTTCGTCGTTTAACAGCAAAATAAGCAAAAATTGTAAATTCGCGACGCATAGTATTGAAGCGTCAAATGGCTATGCTATTTGCTAGAAAAGCGACAATTTTAGTTTTATTTCATATAAGTGTTTTTGCAGGTGTTCTGAAAAATATAATAATTGTACGCAATTTACATTGTATCTCTTTATTTTACATGACTGCCGTTGAAATACACTTTGTTATTATGCAGGGAACACAACATAATTGGTTTGTTGACGTGATTCGTTAGGGGATAACTAATTCGTATCACACAACTTCACTATAAAAAATATAAAATAACACGTTACGTGTGGCGTCCAATAAAAGTGAAAGAAAGCGTTTGGATAAAACATAATAATAAAAAAAAAAAAACAGCGTACGAATAACCTAAAGAACAAAGACCTAGGTGCTTGTATTATTATTATTATTACGAGCTTATAGTGTAACCTTTATGAATATATTCAACAAAAAAACCAAACATCATTTTAAATGTGCTCATTAAAAATAAGGATGTAAATATTCTAGGTACTGATCTCTGGCCTCGAACGCATCAAAGTGAGAGGATTTATTTTGTAATGGGCGTGTATAACGGTTCACACAACGAAATGGGATGTCAATAATTGTTATATTATTCCTATAACCTTGTCGAGGATGTTGACGAATATCACATGAGCACTGCGACAGTCCTTCGTGGTTTTTTTGACGTGACCCACTGCAGAATATGAATTATTATAATAAGATCTAAAACTCGCGTTGGAATACATAATAATATATGCTCGCTATAATAAACGGAAAGATAATAATATTATGTTATTATAAGTATCTTCGTTTTATTTAACATGCGCTTTGTTCGACAACCACAAATGTCGCGAAGAGAATATCTAAAAAATATTTACAAGGATAAACTATTATACATATTTATTGGCAATGTTAATTTTGTTTTTTTTTTTTATTATATAATACCTGTTGACTTTATAATATCTATTATCTTGAATTGATCTTGCGCATGCCTTTACACAATATAAACTTATTTATTTTATTTTCCTCAAGAAAAATGTGTACCTATAGAGCTAAATTACATAGGGACTACTTGTCAAACATAGCATAACAAGTGATGACTAATAAAACACTGGGAAATATATATTCGTTTAAAAAACGGGAAGTCCAATTATTTACAGTATTTATCTGTTTACTAACTCAATCGTTTGTGTATCTCATATATTCATTATAACGGACATTTTTGTTCGTTTCGTTTTCACGAGTTATCTAAGAAAGATAGAACCGTGCAACCAACGTCAAATCATTTGTCTCAAAATGTCCCCCCAATATACCTAGTAACCAGATTTATTCATTATCATAAAAAAACGTTTTATGGATTTTCAGAATTGTCAGGATATTTTTTTTTTTGTTGCAGCAAACACCGTTTTACATTATTATGAACAAATAAACTAAAATCAAAAATCGCTATTACCCGTGCAAATGACTCGGGTCGTAAAGGATTGAGTCGTGTCATCTTTGTCGTAGTCAACATTATTAATTAACTACTGAAATAGTAACTTTTAAAAGGTCTAGGCCGAAAAAATATATATTTATACAAACAACATATCTCATACTTATACAATTATTGTAAACTTTAATGAATTATCATTTTTATTAATTCATTTAATTAGCAAGTTTTATGTCCATCGTTAGTTGTTTCCATTTGTAAGTGTTAAAAATTTGTCTAACGTTATTAATAATATCGCTGGGTTTATATTTTGTGTTTTTCTTATTGCACTTAGGCTAAAAATGTATATGTTAGTATAAAGTTTATACTAACATATTTGAATGTTTATACTATAAATATTCAAACGACAGCTGCCATATGAAACTATTAAATGTCTTGTTGCGCATAACAAATTTAAAGATTAAACGGTTCATTAAATCACGTATAGTTGTATGTACCAACTATTGGATGTATTGTTATATTGATGTCTATGAGCGCACTAAAAAAATGTTAAGGAATTCGTTAAACTAACTGATGACCGTTTCATATGCAACACATTACTGGTTCTATCAGGAACAGCAGAAAAAAAAATTTGTGAAAAAAAAATGCCAAATTAAAGTACTCACGATAGTTGGTGCAGGTCTTGTAAGTACTTAGGCAGCTACCTACTCAAACAAAATTATATTGATATTAAACGATCGACGGGTTTGTTGCACGTACTCAAATGATAATCATACGAAATTGCTTTGTTTTCTCTTTAGCCGATTAAAAATGGCTATTTAAAACGAAATACAGTGCCAATCTGTTTTTAGTAAAAGGTAATTATTATTAACACTATATTTCTTATTATAATATTATTAAAAATTTAGTGTTGACACCGCCGCGGTTGTCAGTTACATATTATTAATATTGTTATATTATACTCCAAACGTTACGAAAAAGACAATAGTTATGACTTTCTTTTTTACTTATACATTATCGTTTGGACACTTAACAGGAAAACGGTTTTAGTTTTTTTACAATTATTTTAAATCGCCCGTAGTTTGTTTGACATTTCATCACACTACCAAATCAAAGGTAAACCACAACCAGAAGCATTTTAATATTTAGAAACTTCGCTTTAGGGTATTTCTCGGTTTGTGTTTTATAATATTAACAAATTCTGTCAAATTATAATTAAATCGTTTCCTTACACATGTTTGCTATTATTTTGAAATAATACAATTTATTATTAAACATAAAAGTTTCTCGTACAACTCAAAAAAAAATATATATATTGTTCAAATACAGCAAATATACTATTATTAAAATATTTATGGTTAAACATTTTTTTTTTTTAAATATTTTTTTTATACTTTGCTGTCTGTATAGGAACTATAGTACATAGCACGTAGGATTGGTTGTGTTTAATTATTTAAAATATTCACTCAAAAATAAAAGTTTAGTGATGAATCCTTGAATGGCCAAATTTTCTTTAAAAAATTACACCTTAAGAGGAACATAACTAGAATTCCTTTAGAGTTACTTATTTTCTCTGTATTAAAATATTGAGAGAAATGTTCAACGACCCGAGAAACAACCTTTTGAAATAAATAGTCAAGAATTTTAATTTAACATATTATTTTTCATAAACAAAACGGTAAGGTTGACATGAACGATTGTCTAGTATACTTAAACTGCTATTTTAAATAATATTATTAATATCAGAAATTTCTATTCAACTCATGTATCTGTTATGAGCTTATAATAGATTTTAGACACTAAGTTTCAGAAGAATCCATACACGACTATAACCATTTAAGTAATAATATAGACTGTAATTGAATTGTAAGCGTTATTGGACAATGCATAGTACGTATATAGGTGATTATTTGTTAACTATGACTCAGTCTAACTATCACTCAACGAATTTATCAAACATTTTTATTAATTTTTCCCCTTTATCGCCTCTTTGCTGCAAAGTGATATTAACTCTTTGGAGGACAACAATAATGTTAACAATAAAAATAACATGTCACCAATAAAAGACCCTTAAGGGGCAATTTAAAAATTATAATTCAACGAAGTCATACGATACGAGCGCAAAATCAAGTTAATAAGCAATCGCACGCGTTAGATGACTATTTTATTTGGCCATCACTACTAACTATCAACAAAAAAATAAAAAAATTTAAGTGACTATCTACATTAGCCAGCATTTCTCAAGGGTCATAACAAAAGTGGTTAATATCTACACCTCAAAGAGGTAATAATTGTAATAATTTGTGTACAAATATTTACGTCTCACGCTTATTACATTATAATCCACTTTTGATTTTAAACGATAACCTACACTAAGTTTAATGAATCTTCAATAATAATTTTTGACAAATGGTTTTTTTTAATTTAAAAACATTTGAAGGGTTATACAAGTAGTCGGAGTGAAACTTTATTAAGACCAATGTTACTCTCCACATCGGAAAAATTTTTGTGAACTTGAAAAGCTTAAAAATGATAATAAACAAAACTGGTTTGTGACTAAATAAGTAACTAACTAAACTGGTAACTGACTAAATAGGAAGGCGTGTAAATATGTTACTTGCCACTTTAAAATTAAAAAAAAAAAACAAAAGTTTTTGACTTAGAGGAACAGTTGTGCACAATTATTAATATACAATAGTAAATGTTTAATAGAATAACTCTAGAATTACTGTTAAATACTTTTACAATTAATGTTGGAGGAATACATATTATTAGCATGGTTGTCATTATTCATAGTTAAGACGTTTATGAAAGTTTTGTGTGATAATTACATATACAATTATTGTAGAACAGTTTGGTTTTATGATAAAAAATATGTTGAATAATAATAGCTACGTTGCAAATCGTTTAAAAGCAGATAATTTGTTTTATTTTTATGATAGAACAAAACATTTTTTTTTTTTGGCGAAATCATATGTTTATGAAGAGTGTTATGTAACATTTAAGGCCAAAATTTGTTTGGTAATAATAATGTGTTACCTAATAATAGACAAAAATTGCTAATTGTTATATGTATGTAATATAATATATACATTATGTATTATATGTGTACTATACACACTATGCTTGCATTATTACAAGGTTTTAGCATGACAATTAGGTAAACAAAATATGTAATTGTGCTCCGTTGTGATTATCAATTAATTATATTCCTACAATAATTAAATACATCCAATAAATTACACTTATTATACACATAATTCTCGGTTAATTAGTCTAGCGTTATTTCATATTTGTAATAACGTTATTTGTAATAAACCAAGTCGTAACACACATTAAATAGCGAAACGAGACACCGATAAGAACACTGTGATTAATCATAGAGCAATTTTATAAGACATTCCTCGGCTGCACGGTAAATAACGACCAAAGCCTAAATGATTACTATAGTAATAGGTACACTGGACGGTTTGGCGTTTTTTATCCATTAGCAACAAGTAAATTTCCAACGTACAACATAGAGCTCAACCAAACTAAGACCATAGCAATATGAGTTTAAAAAAAAAACCCAATGCGAATTGTTGCATTCACAAACAAAAAATGTATATATATATCAAATCAGTATTCTTGATGTTTGCGCGCATACATAATATATTAAACCGTAATAATAAAAATTATAAATTCGATATGGAGAAGCCATAGTGTACTTTTATAAAAAAACCAAACGAGCGCAAAATTGATGATGCCTCGCAAATATTTAAATATAGCTACTGCCGCATAAAAAATAAAATTGTTTAACATTTTATTTCGCAATTAGTTAACTGAAAACAACAACGTTACAATATATTCGTTATTTTACAATTGTTTAGGACGCCCTAAATTACTTTATAACAATTAGACAAAACTTATCAAGGGCATAAATGATTGGACCTAGTCATAATTACAATAATGTGTTGAAGCAATCAACAAACCATCGGAAGTATACTAATAAATGTTTTATAGAATCTACTTGTTTTAATAAAAACTCACCATGGATAATAACAAAAGTAAAACAAATATATTGGCCCTGAGAATAACCTGACCAAAATACAAATTAACGCGAATCAAGGATAAAAAAAAAATTACCGATAAAGATGACTAAATTATATAATTACTATGTTATTTTATATGAAAAATTAACTAGCTTATAGGCTAAGTAAATATCAAGAAACAATAATAAGTATTAAATTTCAAAATCGCAGACAAGTGACTGTAATTAAAAAATTGGCGATTTATCAGTGTTTCGTGTATAAGAAAATATTATTACAATCTTAAGTAAAACCAATAATTATTATGAGACAGTAACTTAATTATGTGTTTTTAAAATATGTTATTAGTTATTTTCAAAACTCTAAAAAGTATAATGCTTATAATAACTTCCATTAAACCACAATAAAACAAAAATATTTTATACTTCTAAATTGTTGTGTGAGTGAGCAGTAATCCAACATTTAACTTGTAATACATCTCACACTGCACACAACAGTTAAAACGTTTAAATATTTTCGGTTTTATTGGAGGTTTGGTGGAAATAATATAGAAGTATGATGTCATAATCACAATGTATTTATTATTACATTTTTAACGTTCGGGAAATATTATTAAAAGTATATTATTGGTGTAAAACAGTCGCAAACTAGTAAGTTAAATGAGTAAAAATAAAAAAAAATAATAAACTTCACATTTACCAGTAATTTGTTGGTAAATCATAACTCGGAACATTAGTCCTAAGATTTGACAGTGGCAAACATGTATTAATGTAGTAATTTCTCTAATTGAATTACAATAGTTGCAATAGTTATTGCGATAGTTTTAGGATTACAAGTTATTAATTAATTAGTGCTTACGTTGTCCTTGAACATTAGTATCGCAACCATTGGTAAAGAATACACTACTTTGAAGTTTAGACAATACATTTACAACACACATAGTATATAGTGATATAATACAGCTGATTGCACTAAGCTCTGCAGGTACTATGTGTACAAACTAATTCGGCGGCAATAACCGAGAAACTATTGGAAAGTCGTAGAAGGTAAAAAAAAAACGACCGACGCGACTACCACAACCTTCCCGGACGGATATCGATGTACACGAATTACATACTTAATGGTAATTTATCTAGTTTCTAGTCCGAAACTGTCTTTGCTTTTCTTTTTGGTAAATTATACCAATCGACCGGTTAGAGTTTATGATCAGCGAGTAACTTCGACCGCGTTGGTTGCTATCAGAGAAAGGCGAGACAAATCCAAGAGGACTATGTAACAGGTGGATTGACCTTAATTGGTTTAGTAACATTAAAATGCATAAGAAACGTGGGCGATTTCGGTAACTGAAGACAATCTTCAGCAGCTTTATAATCGCGTGTTTAACACCAAAAACAAGATTAGGAAAACCATCCGATCTTTTTAGTACTATTTTTACCCACTAGACTTAAGAGATATAGGTTATTTCATCATTTATAAGTTTGGTCGGATTAGAATGCATTTAGCATAAGTTATATGTTCATTAAATGGTTTAAAAAATTACCAACGATTGTTGTGGCTTATCAATATTTATTTACAAACGCTTTAAGTTAAAAATATCATACATGTATGGTATAAAAGTATCATAACTCCAGACCAATTTTTGAAAAGAGTAGAAATTAGTGTTAAACATGAATAACTAAAAATTAACTTAACTAGTTAAATAACTGAAGAATCGTTAATTTCCAAAATAAAAAAAAAAAAATAAAAACTCATCAAATTTAGAAAACGGTTGCCAATAATTTTTGCACACGTTTACGTTTTATTGTTTCGTCACATTCCGATTCCAAGTGTTGAAAACTGAACTTGACTGAAAATAAAAAATGATTTTGGCCAAATTCCTGGCTTAAGACCACCCAGAAGAAATTACATTTTCAAAATGATGTTCTATTTGTAGAGCGTAGGTGTCGCAAAACTGTGGGATGGACGGTATATAAACTACCTAGTTAACATTGTGATCAGTCGCATAACCAACCGTTTACACCAATTTAGCTTGACATTTGAGTACAGCTTAGCGCATAATTTCATTATTATTAAACAATATTTAACTTTTTAAGCGTTAAGCTGGTGAATATGACCCTAAGTGTAATATTTCATCGACAACGTCATATCTTTAGCCTAAAATTAAATTTCTCCTATTTCATAAAAATTTGCTGAACTGTTATTTTGCTCGACTGGTCTGTAATAATTTGTTGAAAATTATTCGATGAATCCTTTTCGTAAACAAACAGTACAGTCGACGCATTCGTAGACTTAAGATACGATGTGCTATCTGTTAGGGGCGGCTGTTGCAAAGTTACATGGTCGACAGGGTAGATTCGGCTGGGGTTCAAGCGTTTAGGTACTCACCCGAGCTTGTCGCGTTAAGGGACAATTTCCCGGAGTTGACCAGTTGCCGGTGGTAACGGCAGTCGAGATGATGTAAACAAACGCGCACAAACACACGAGATCACTATCCGAAATCACGGCTAATAAGGCACCGGGCAGAAGAGAGACCGCTGAACGGCTACGGCATGTAATAAAAGCACGGCTAAAAAATGGTAATAATATTAAAAATAATAATAATAATAATATAACATAGTGTTTTTCCTGTGCGGTATAACAACACAACAGGAACGACCGTCGGCTTCGGCGTCGCGTCGTTCAATAACGCTCAGAGCCGGTCACTGTGGCCGACAGCTGGTGTAAGCGTGTATTATTATTATTATTATTACAGTACCCGTGTGTACGCCGAGAGACAAACCGGTCGGCATCGCAGTTTTTTTTTAGGCCATCCGATGAAAGTACACAATACCTATATTATTGTACTATTATACTGGCAGTGCGGTAGGGAAGGGTATACACAGGCGATGGTCGCCTGGAGGTAATAACCGGTGCATCCGTTTACTCGGTCGAGTGGTATAAACCCTTAGATTTGTAAACAAAAGACCGGCCAACAAAACGAACGTGTAAGCGATGTAATTTAACTTGCTAATGACCGACCAAATATAGTTTGGTAAAGTGGGGAATCTGGTTTACAAAGTCAGATTTACGATTTTTTCCTTCGATAAAGGATACCAGAACTATTGAATAATATGGGTACATAATGGTTAAGTTTTAAATCGAAGTAAATATATAATATATTATATACTTATATTATTGCTTCCACAATAGGAACCTGGCCACTTCGTATAAAAAAACGTTAAACGCGTTTTTTTAAAAACATTTTCCGCGACAGACCATATAGTTATTGCTTTTTTTTTAGGAAAAATGTGACTTAAGGGCCTTAACTTTACTACTGGTGTAGTTTTATAATTCAGCCTTTAGAGGTTATAATATACTCATTTGTATTAGGTATTTGAACATTAATTTTATTCTATTTACACACGCTACATGGTATAAGATAAATTAATACATATACTTAATGTAGAAGTGTACAGGCTTATAATATGTTGTTGAGTTTTATCTAGTTGGCCGATTAGATAATCGTATACAAGTTCATGCGTTTAACAACAAAGCGTATGCTAATGATTAAGTAAGTAATATAATTACCCGTGTGCCAATTTCGGTACCAAAATCATACTGAAAAGCGGGTTATGCAATGGAACGCACACACGAGTGACGCAAGTACTCAACTGCAATTGTCCATCACACGAATGACTTAGCTGAGTACACTGTAGGTACAGTATGCGCTTAAATAGTGTTGTACATAATATCTCTTAGTGCATTCTGCGTACAGCAATTATGCGGTGACATTATATTTTTAAATATTAAAAACGTTAGCATACATATTTAGTCTAGTTATGTAGGCTGTAACTAACTAGACAATATCAACAAATTTTAGGAAACTATAATCATTTTGAAAGTGATAAAATATAGTTTATGAAAAGTATATGATTAGCGATTGTCTTAATAAAAAATGTTGATTGAAAGACGTGGAATAAAAATGCCTTAAGCTTAAATTTTTTTATTTTAAGAACATTTTTTTTTTTGAGGAGATATCTGGCTTTGTCATTCTGAGTTTTTTAAGGTGTACGTAAATATAAAAAAACTCCATTGAAAATCCAACGTCTTTTATTTATGAAACGTGATAGCTAAAATTTTGTAATAAAAACAAATGTTTATAATTTGGATATTGCAGCTACTGATTTGTTAGAAAAGAAAGTATTTACTTTTCAAAACACGTTTGTTATACTTTAGAATTTTTCCAACATAATATTTGAATTTTTCTTTTCACTTTAAATAGTGTTGATAAAAAACTAGTAATAAGTTATCCAACCATTTTTAAATAATGGAAAAAATGTCATAAAGAAACTTTTTTTTTTAAAAATAGTAATTCTTTATTGTTTACTAATACCTTATAAGGAATAAAAATGTAACAAATGCAAGAATGGGCTGAAAAATTAACATTTGTGTAGGTGTCAGCAAGATTGAAGGCCAATAGTTTAATATAATGGTATAAAGGTGACAGAAGATAAAACTGTGACATATTTTTATCATTTAACTTTGTCCACATTATCCTATAATTAGGCGTTTGAAAATACATTTCCGAGTAATGGTTTAAAAACTTTATAGAAACGGGGCTTTTAAAACAATTTTACATTCAATACTTGAAGGTTAAAGATCAAAGTATTGCGTTCCAGGGAAATCGTGTCTCAGATAAACAAAAATTACATAAATATTATTTCTCCTCGACTTCTATCCGAATCTAATAGCCTTAAGGGCTTGACCATCAACGGAAATGTATATATTTTGCAATTTGCAAGTTGGACAAAGTGTGTTAGCAACAAACCACACACATTTGCGGTTGACTATAGCCTTTTATTTTGTAGTATTTTACATTAGGTAACTATTGTAACCTTATACCCAATTAACGTCCATAGTGAAAACAACTAGTGTCATGAAAAATATTGTACTTTTATATTTATAAAAATTATATTAGAGTATAATTATTGTTCAACAAGCAATTTTTGGATCCTAATACTGTTCGGAGGTTTGATTATTTGTACAACATATACTATTATAGAATGTAAACATACCTACCGATTTGTTAAACATTTGTTGACAACTTGCTACGCTCACATTAATGATAGAAATATTATTGAACCACATTCGAGAAAATAGGTAAAGTCAAAATTAATATTCTTTGTTTCGTTTTACTCATTTCATTTAGATTGTGTGTTTTCATGGTAACAAATTATTCACTTTAATGATCAGGTTTATCTGAATAGCGCAGGTTTACTTGTATTTTTTCCTCGGTAGCAAATTATTCGTGATAATAAAATTATGTTACTATAAAAATTGGAATTTGTGACTTTTAATTAAAAACCGTCGACGTTAATACATTACGTCTTATGAGGCCAATATTACTTCAATTGTTTGATAAACAAGTAACGACTGTATGTCATTGATAAGTTAATTTAATTGCGAGGCAGGCGGCAAATAATTAGTATACACATTTCCAGTGCAGTAGGTGTATTATAATAATACATAATAACATTTTATTGTTCGCTTACTAAATGTGTTTGGTCCAAATTGCCATGCAATATGTGTTAATACACTGTGTTCATTGCTACGTTTCTAAATTAGTTGGAGTGCTAAAATAGCACCTTTCGCTCTTTAAACAAAACAAAGCAAAGCAAAAAGAACGAAAAATCGATAAAAAAAAGTCGTTGACGTTGTTATGTACATTATTTCTTCAACTTTACTTAACAAGCTCAGTTTGAACGTCATGATTTATACATGGGCAGGCCTACAGAAATCCAATATCTCATTATACTATATTAATATATGTTTGTGAGTATTAGTACAAGTCGTTTTGCTGTCCGAATAACACAGCGAAGCCCGGCGCGCTTAGTATGTGCGGGTAGGGCGTGACTACAACGCGGGGTCGCGCATCTCTCTAAGTACTTATACCTCCGTTTATATTGTGAGTGGTTGTAATGTCGACATAAATAATTAGACGTTCCATTAACATAATAAAAAGTAACGCACTTTCCGCGTGGCTGACTGATGTTATTTTTGCAATGCATCATAATTATTTGTAAGTAGTAACGTGTAACTTTTTGTTTGTGCAAAATAAAAGTTTTTAAACATATATTCAGGCATTATATTTTAGCAATAAAAACTTTTGATAATTAATGGTTTTCGGGCGTTTCAGGAACAAACTTTCTTGCCTGCCACAAATATTTCCGGTCAAAACAAGATACTTTACAGCGAAGCGTAGTGTTCAAGAGATTTTTTTATTTGCAGATGTTTTATTTTTGAGGTAATAATACAATTTTAGTTTTTTCGGGACAACACTAAAGCTTCGAAGAAATATGTCCATATAAGCCACGATATAAAAAAAAACACGATGACATATTTAATGTGACTTTATTACATCATATTTTTACAACAAATATTGAATTACAGACATTTTTAAATATAATATGTGATTTATACCTTATAACAACCATAAATTTCATTAAAATGTACACATATAATAATAGACCTCTTAAAAGTTATACAACTACACTGTAATACAATAATAATATATTTTTTAGGAATTATTATAATTATATATTTTCTTATAACGCTAATTGACAGTGTTTTGTGTGCTAAAATATTGTTCACAATTTAGTAACCATCGAAAGTCAATCCTCTGGCTTTATTTTTTTACTTCTTATTTTTTTAATATTAATATAATGTTTCAAATTTAATAGTCATACATTATTATGATATTTTGTTCAAAATTTTTCAAATTTATTAATAGATAAGTTTATAGCCTTTGTTTTTATTTATAATGTTTTACAGGTAAATTAACGTGATGTAACGGTTTGCTTGGAAAATTATCAGGTTGAAATTTTTTAATTAACATAACCGTGTATTTGTATAAAAACGTATATCGTTTAATTTTTCAGTTTGGGTTTTTTGTTTTTGTGGCGGCACATATGGGCAGTCAAATTTGTTTGCTAATGGGTGACAAATATTCAAAGGCTTAAAGGTACTTAACCTAAGAGCTAACACGATAATGTTTATAATAATTTAACGATCGTATCAAATATTTGTATTTTATAAGTTATAGATATGAGTCAAGGTGATAACATTAAGTTACAAGTTTCAGAAAAATAAAAGTACTCGTAAAACTTACAAGTACGGTGATTTGAGAGATCTGAAGAATCACCCGGAGATCATTTTTATTATCTACTCGCTTAAAAGTCTAAGCTCTAAAATATTCTCAATAAATAATCAATATGATTCATTAAGGAATGTAGAAAATTTAACAACTGCTTTATAATATTTTGTTGATAACCGCCTTTGTTCAGAATATACTATGTTTATTTACAAAAAAGCAATTTTGTTGGTACTAATTAAAATTAAATCAAATAGTTATAGTAATTTAGACACGACTTTACAAAACAGTTGATTAAATAAATGTACATATTATTATAGTAAATAGTATCTTATAATTAACTATACAATGGAAATTATAGGCCTCCAAAGACCTAAATGATTGTCTAAAATGATGTATTAGAGTATGTAATCATTGATTAAAAGATGTATCAAGGGATTTATTCTTACAGATTTTACGGTAGTCCGCTATGAATTATTTTATGTGTAGTTTTTGAGCTAACATTTTTATTTACATTTAAGAGTCCGCAAATTTATACACATATAAATAGAACGTAATATTATAACATAAAACGGTATATTATAATATTATACTTATATAAGCAACAAATAACGTTTTATAACATTCATTGACTAGCTCATCTATTTGAAACACATTGCGACCGAGTTTAAAACATCTTAAATACATTCTAGTATACTTAAAAAACAAATCCGAGGGAATTAAAAAGGTGTAAGTAATTTAAAAAAAATGTAATTGTTTTTTCAATGTGCTCTTGTGAACATAGTACATAAGTTAACTTCAACATCTATTTTGAAAATATAAAGGAAAGGAAAGTTGGTCTAAAACAAAAATCATAATAAGTTATGTATACTAACTTTGAAAACGCGTTTTAAACAAAATTCAATTCAACTGCATTGTATTGAATTTGTTTACCTAAGAAAATCATCATTTAATCAACATTTGTTAGAACCTCTTTAAATTTCAGTGTTTTTATAACAAACTAATATAGTTTTCGATCTTGTCATCGAATTAGCCGACATAAGTCATGTAATAAAACGAATTAACGATTTATATTAAGTATAATTTAAACTTTAACATACATAATTTACACAAATAAAAGTTAATAATTAAAATATTATGCATACAGGTAGAATAGTATAATGAATGTATAGATGGGTAAACGGTAGAAATGATAAAATAGTAACATAATGTAATATTTATAATACATTTATATAATAAAATATGAATAGAACACGATTTACAAAAACAAACAAAAACCGTCTAACTCAATATAAATTATATCACAAATCAATGATTATATTTTTACCCTGTATAACACCCTAGAAAATACAGGCTAAGGTATTTAGGTTGGTAACTTTTTTAATCGTTCTCTTAATAGTTATATGCACGTACAGTAGGAAAGTGAAGGTAAAAAGAAGGAGAAATAATAGGTAGACGATAAAAGGTTTCATAGTTATTTTTGTATACAAGAGAAACTTTTGGTTGGACGAAATGAAACATTTGACAACAGAAACAAAATACAAACCAGTGGAGGTGAAATTAATTATTTTTTTAAGTATTATAGGATCAGATTGAATCGTGTAGGTGATAAAAATTAATACAATTAGTATAATTTGTTCTAATAAAAAAATACTTTTAATGTTTTGATGTTGTTTCCTAATTAATATCGGTTCATACTTTATAATATTGCTTTATATTAAATAGCCGACATCAAAGATACTCTTGAAGTTTTTTTTATGTAGCATTTAACGTAGTACTCTACAAAAAAGGAAATTGAAAATAGTTTTTCTTCAAAGGTTTTTGCAAAAGGCCATGAAAGAAATTACCGACGTAAACGCTTTAATAATAGTTATTAGGGTCATAACTTTATTGATTTATTATTATTATTATTGCGATTTATAAACAACTTTTTGAAAATAATGCCCAGCTATAGAAAAACATGACTTTAAGGGTCATAGATGGGCATACTTATTGGAAAATAACGACTACCATCATTTTTAATAATGTAAATACCTAGAAGTACATATTGAAAACTAAAGAGACGATTTTTATAGTCCAGTCTAGGTTAAGTTAAGACCATGTGAATTAACTATACATTTTATCAAGAGTTTGGTTTTTATATTAAAATCAAAATTGTTAAAAATTTACTTTCAAATTACTGCATTAAAATGTTTATTATTCTAAAATAAGACTTTTTTTATCGAAGCAACGATTTTTTGTATTTTTTTTAGCATTATAAAATGTGATTTTGCCAGATGTTTTTCCATCATTCGTAATATTGGACAGTAATAGTGTTGTAGCAGAAGTATTAAAGTATTTCCGTAGCAGTCAAATAATGAACGATTTTTTTTTTTCGTGACGTTTTTAAAGATTTATGAACTTATTTCCAACAAACATTAATAACGATTCATCGATTGACACTCTAGACATTGAAAAAAGTATTCGACGTAAAGCGCCTTAGTAATTTCAAAAATTATTCGTTAAAAACTCATTATTTTTACAGACTAACAATATTGTTCTCTTAAAAAAAAAAAAAAAAAAAATAGTATTATTAATTCTTCTGTTTTAAGAAATCGTCGTAATCGCGAACCTGATAAAAATATCTACAAAGTTTTCTTTTAAAGCTTACTCGATGCACATTCTTAGCCCTTTTAATTCTCATTGGGATATTATAATTTTCATCATGGTGCTATCAATAATTTAACATTGTAATTTGCGTTTCATTACCTCTACTTGATTTGTTCACGTTCATACTACGAAACGGGTGGTCGAATCGAGCCACTCATAAACGGCCAATTGTCTATCGTGGAATGGATCAATTTTGAATTCAGGCATCATATAAGGCACTACGGGAATTACACAGGTACGGGACACAACAGCGATAATAGTCGTACGCCATATTAACGTGTCTCCGGGACACGTGACATCGCGTGATGACGTTATAACCTAGTCGGGGATGCTCGCCGAGTATGTCTACTGAGTTACTCAACCTCAGTCTTGTCAAACGTACGGATGGAACTTGAGACTTTTGGACGCGGCGGCCGACACGCGAGTCATCTCCAACGTCTCCGCGCCGTCGTCCTCGCCGGCGCTGTTCCGGTGACTGTTGGCCGAGCACAAGTCCGGCATTGGCGACCAGTCGCTGAAGTCCACAAGGCGGTTTCCGGTGTTTTCGGGGGGCGGCGGCGGCGGCGGCGGCGGCGGAGGAGGTAAGGGCGGTGGAGTAGTGGGTTCGGACGTGTGGTCGATCCTTCCGACGGTGTCGTTGACCGCTTCGTCGTCGTAGACCGTCACTGTCACGTGGCCGTCGTTCAGCCAATCCAGTACGAGCGACCTGTTGCTCTTCACGAACCTTTCGAAAACGGCCACGTCCGGACGGTCCGTTTGCACAGCCACGTCGACGGTCAGAGGATGAGGCTTATGGCCCGGACTGTCGTCGGTGGCGTCCCACCCGAACACTTCCGGCGGATGCGACGAACTCCGTTGCAGCACTGCGGTCTGCTGCCGTTTGTTGTTGTCGGGCAGATCCGGATTGGACCTGGCCGGCACCGGATGCGGATACCGGGACGCGTTCGTGCTGGTAGTGGCCAGCTCCTGTAACGCTTGAATGGCGTTCTTCACCTTGAACACATTTTCAAAAACGTTTAATCATTTCGCAATAACGTGGGAAAATAAGCTCATCACTTGAACAGGAGCTTCCGGAATTCCGAGGAAATATGTTAAATATTTGTTTGTCTTTACAACAAGCATGAAACATAATTTTTACATGCGAAAAAGTTCATAATTTTGTTGAAAAATCAAATTGATTACAGCATAATTCAAATTTTTGAGGTATGAATAAAATACCAAAAAACTCTATTCTTACACCCTTATGTAGTATGAATCACGAAGTGCGACATTTAAATCAAGAAAACTCTGTACAATGGATTTATACAGAATTTGTGAATAAGTACTAAAATCTGTCTGTAGAATAACCTCCGTCCCTTGTTTATGGGGGCGTTAACTAATGTGATTTGAACAAATTAATGAGTATTCATTACCCAGTACAAAAGAAGTTAAAATTGAAAAAGAAAGAAATAATGATACAAAACGGGTACATTTTCGTAAGATAACGTCGAGGAAAATTACTCTCATTTTTAGTTCTTATTATTCAACATTATATAAATTCACTTTAAATGACATATCTCAATAATCTATTATTATTTTCCTTATCTTATTCCTGACCTGTATTTTTCGGCTACTATGATATAATATATACCCTAAGCGAAAAATGTAATAATAAACTTAAAACTAGTATGAGGTATAAGTAATTTGTTTGTTTTATTAACATAAACCATCAATCAAAATTTTAAATTATTACAGAAATACTGGCTTGTGGTTATGCTGTGAGATAATGATGCGTCTCACTTTAGTTGGAATATCGGATTAAATTTACTTTGGCTGTTTCAAAAAGGGTTTAGAGTCTCGCTACACAAAAGTTTTGCATATTCAGATAAAGGGATTTTTAGAAACAAAAATATAGGTTGGTATAATTTAAAAAAATTATGTACACTCATATTGTGTGACGCGTGTAGGTGTTTAAAAACATACTAATCTGTTTTTCCTCGAGTTGTAATATAATCATTTTTAATCTTTGCCTTTTAACTTTTTTCATACTCGAAAATTAAAAAAAAAAAACAACAACACCATTATTATTTTTAATTAACCGAAGTTAAATTAAAATTGAACTCAAAATATAGCTAAGTACTTGACACATAAGTCATAATAGTTGCCAAGTCTGCTTGGATGAAGCAATAATAAACCATTCTGAATTTACATTATTAAACAGCTCGAGTACGAAACATAAAAGTGCCCATTTTGAATATGAAAATTATTTGCATTGTCGTTGCAGACGTTACGGTAAAATAATGTGTGTTTGAAAAGACAAGCGAGTTGTGACTAATAAATGGAAGCAATTCGAATTCGATTTATAAACGTCACTCAGCTAAATAGAGTGCTTAAGCTTGCTGCTTTAACGACATTAGTTATTTTTCAAAAGCCAAAACCTTTATTTACGCGCGCCTGATGTGAAATAGAATATTAACAATTTTTAAAGATGACATATCAAAGTAAGTTTGTCAATAAATTTGTAAACAGTTAAACCACTTTTTTCCCATCTAAATATTACCATTCGATTTGCGCGACTACGTCACTGGAAGTAAAATCCCACACATTTTTTTATATATATTTACTCGAATCTAAGTATACCGTAATAGGAAAGGGCATTTAAAATTTTTTTATAAATACAAATTAAAATGCCCTTGGTGATTGAAAAAAAAATTATCATTCGTGTACAATTCTTGAGATCTTTATTAAACAAATTAATCTAGCTATACCATTTTTTTGGAAATCAATTAAAATAAGTATACAGAAAATAAAATATTTATTGTTTTGCCACTGGACAGCTTGTTGGGCAATTTAAATGTTTGAATGATTTAGCTGTTGTATTGATAATTTTTTAACAACATATTGTTCAATTTATATATGATATTTTTAGTATCTAAGCGTAATTTGTTTAACCAAACAAAATCAAGAATCGGTTTTCATCAGAATGGAGTAAAAATTCTTCAACAAATTCGTAATGTTTATAACAATATTAATTAAACTCGGCCTGTAAAACGGGAGTTTTTTTTTGCAAAATAGTTTTTTATTCTTTAAGTAAACTATGAAGTGTAATCGTTTAAAAACGATTAAAAAAATATATAAAATGGCGACAGTTTACATTTACACTGTTTTATATGTTCAAAAGTAGAATAAGTTTTTTAATTTTTAAGCTTAACGCAGTGTAGGCATCTTTTTATCGTGGACGTCATTATAATTCAGAAGGTTACATGAAATCCTGAATAACGTTATTAGTAGTTTGATTCAATTTTTATATAATAAGATACATAACATAATATAATATAACTCAACATGCCTAGATTTTAAAATTATATGTATTACCACTATACAGCGTCGTGGCGGTACATTTAATGTATAAGTAATAGTTATCCATGCCGAAATGATGACACAAGTGAATTGTTGTTCTTTTAAGAAACCGTTAACTGCTCTATCATTTGTATAATATATTTAAATAAATGCGGATGTAGCTGAACGAATAGTATTGGGTGTGGTAAATAATTAGAGACACTATTGTTTTGTTCTCGTGTGTTGTTACAGCTTAATTAACGTTTATGTGTGACACTTACTTCCTGGCTTAAGGTGGCAACGTGATAATGCAGTGATGTCACTTGTGTGTCTAATCTGTCGACGTTGACTTTTCTGTGTTCGATGTCACTCCGAGGAAGCGTTCTGGATCTAGGTCGAGCAAATTTTTAAAATAATTGATATAATAGCTATATATGTAATTATTGTTATTAATATTGCATACATTGGTTATCTTATTTTATCGGTTGAATACTATGTAACTATTATTAACAGCATTAGCAAATTTAACTGAACGAATTAACTCGGTAAAGGTCAATATGCCTCCTATTTTATTTTATTTGAAGTATGTATAGTTGGTACAAGTTATTTTTTATTTAAGAAAATATCTGTAATCTAAGGTTTTCATATTTTATAAACAAATAAATTATTTATTTATTTGATTTGAGGTGTCTGATAAACCTTTTTAAAGTTACAAAAAAATTATAAATAATAACACCAACCATTCTATTAATTTAAATTCAATATAATCTAACCTATTACTGTTTTATATAAAAAAAATAGCTAAATTCAAAATTTTAAACATGAATTACCTAGTTTGAGATAATTTACTAAGGTTGTGTCTACTCGGGCTATAACAGGAATGTATAGGTGACCTGGAAGGAGGTGATTTTGGCGAACCATCGTTTTCGTCTGGTTGGTTTTCATCGTCTTCGCTTATTGACGGTAACGTCAAAGTAGGTAATCCGTTTTGATCGACTTCCTTAGTAAAAAAATAAAACAAATTATCAATGAGTACATCGTTAAGCAAACCACAACAACCGTCGAACAAAATAAATTTTACTTAAAAATAACAAAAATTCAACAAAACCAATATAATTTGTATTACACAGGTATTATGATCCAACTAACCCATCAGTGTAGAAGTACACTAATTTCAACGGGTTGTTTTGCAAATAAAGAGGTAACATTTGGTAAAACCGTTACTATTTTCAATATAGGAATTTTCGGACGATTTTTGTAAAGCTGTCAAATGTGCGTTGACAATAAATGTTGACAAACGGCGGTTGTCGTTGTGGTTATGACGAGAAATTATTAATTATCACGCAAAAGGTATTTTTCATTCATATGCCGAGTTTGATAAACAAAAAAAGTAAAACAAATTTTAAACTGGAAGTGGATATTATAGATGAAAATGTGGAAACAAATATTATACTAGCCCCGAGTTCAATTAGGCAATTTTCCGACGGTGTAAGCGTTCAAACGCGGTAGTCGTCGAAAGGTAATTCCAACTGAAATATTGTCGGGCAACTCTGCTAATAGCGAAAATAATACATTTCAACAAATATCGTGTTTTCGATTGAATGATGTATTATGTACTTTGTTGGGTTTAATTACTTCGGCCTCGTATCCTTCGCGAATGTTATAAGTCAGATCGTGTTGGATGTCGTGTGCGAATTCTTGCTGATATTCCGGATACAGCCTGAGTACTTCCACCAGTCCCTGTACGTTTATGCACTTCAGGTCGCAATAGGTCAGTGCTTTGACATCGCAGCTGGATTTGACCACCGTGTCACCGGATGTGCCGCCACCGCTGGATCCACCTCCGGCCGTTGTGCCCGCGTTACCGGATCCGCTGCCTTGACCCAGCCACATGCTGATGTCACAACCGACCAGATCGCCTTTACCTGAAAATCCGAAATCAAAGTATCATAGCATCGTGCCGCTCTAAATATAAACCACCTCGGTTTTGTTTTATCTTCGTCAGGAAACCTTAAAAATTATTTTATTCTTGTCCAACGTTATCAGAGAAGGCCGAGTTTCTAATTTTCACTGCAATCGAATGTTGACTTAAACAAATTATTAGAGGACAAATATTGATGCTAACAAAAAGTAATTAAATATTTTTTGTACAGAGTTTTTTTATCCGAAGACGTTGATTTAAGATCACTGCTGTACCGTAAAAATTATCGCAGGCCCGAAGGCAAAAATCACCTCCTCAATATTACAATATAATAGTTTTAAAAATATTTGTTCAAGAACAGTGGCAGTTGACCATTATAATTGTCCGATTGCTAACTATTTAAATGCAAGCAATTACTTACTTTGTTTAGCTTTTTAAACCCAACTCGTTTAGATCTACAGTTAAAACCAATGCGAATAGAGTAGTATAATATCTTTATTTATTGAATACTCCATATCATCCTCCATACCCATCCTACATTGCGATTTCTACCGTGTTACTCTAATACTTATATCTAAAAGCTTATATATACAGATCAATAATTTTTTTTCAATAACTATCTACAATATTTAATTTAAAAATAATCCCAAACAATTAAAAATGCTCTATATTTGATTAAAGATTTTATGAACTTTTAATAAATATAGCATTTTACATTTCATACTGCTCATATGTACAGTCTGTAAAACAAAATGTAATTGACTTACTCAGATGACTTCTGAGTAAGTCACTTTACTTTTCTGACAGAAGTAAATGCGTTTGAATATCTAAGCTTTTCAATTTACGAGAAACGGCACAAAGTAAACACATAAGTCAATTAAAATTAACAATCATTGAGAGTTTAAATAATCATTTAATGCTATAGTCTTTAAACATGAAACAGTAAATAATCAATTTTAATGGAAGATTTATCAATCTTATATGTTACAATAACGTATAAAGAGTAAGTGAATTATTAAATATTCAGTGGTACTACATAATATACTACAAGTACATAAAATATAGACCGGCGATTCACCCATACAATTTTAATGAGAATGGGATCGGTTTTCGAGTCAACCTTCGGTAATTTGTATTTATTTGGTTTTGTAACTAATATATTTTGCTTAAATATTTCAATGATACTTTAAATCTCGTGCCCAATAATATGATATTGAAAAAAAACCATTGCTTTGTTAAAAGTTGACTGCTGATGCTTTTTCAAGTCCCATACCTCTCAATCAGTATTCTATAAAAAATATTACGCGGAAATGTATAATATTATCAAGGAAATCACATTATGCGACGGAAATTTTTTTGTTATTTATGTAAATAAAATTACCATAAAGTGGTGGAGCGTGCACGGTTATCTGTGTATTGACAGTCAATAGACTGTTTGGATATTTTCTTAATCCGTTTCTATTCGAATCGAGGTGCCCGTAACAGTTTCATATCCAAAGGTGTATTAGTGTTTAACCCCCCTTGGCCCTTTTTGAAATTTCACCTAACCCAACGTACGCGCCATCCGTACTTATAGGTATTTAATTTCTTATAACCCTCCCTCCCCTTGACCACTCGCTATCGGTCTATACGATATCTATAGTTGACGTAATAGCTATTATATCAATTTACGTATATTTTATCAATCTGTAATTGCTAGTAACCGCGGTGTCATTAGATCTTACCCAGGATAGCGACGACCATGCCGTTTTGGACGACCTCCATGGATCCGTTGCACAGGTAGTAGATCGAAGTGAGCGCGTCCCCTTTGTGGATAAGGTACTCGCCGGGAGCGCAAAAATTGCTTCTGATGTGCAACGACAACAGCTTGAGGCAGCCCTGCGAGGCGGACTCGAAAATGGGCAGTTGCAGGATTTCCCGGTGCAGGTGCATGGACACGTCGCCCCTGAGCTCTTCGGGGAACTCTTTAAGCGTCTGATACAAAAACTGTCGATTAAAACTGGTATAAATCGGAGGTCAATCGTCCCGCGGTCGCCGCGCACGTACCTCGTGTATGTCGATACCGTGGTTCAACGACCACATGGTCTGAAAGTAGTCTTGCATCCGGTGCTTCAGCTCGCTGGGCACCTGGTGCAGCGTCAGGAAGTCCTTCAGGTCTCTCCACTTGCTCTGGTAAAGCGACCGCCTGGAGTACATCCGCTGGATGATGGCCGTCACGTTTCCGAAAACCACGGCGTGCATGAGCGCTATAAAAAAAAACGGATGGTTTTATTTTTTTTTTTCACTACGGCACAACAATATGTATCGAGACGGTAAAAAAACGTCGACGTTTACCTCCGATCAGCATGGTGATGATGCTAAATATTTTCTCGGTGCTCGTGGTGGCCGATACGTTGCCGAATCCGACGCTGGTAAGACTCGAGCAGGTGAAGTACAGAGAAGTGACGTACGACTCCGAATGAGACACGTTCTCCACGTCGACCTTTAGCCTTTCGGCAAGCGTGTGCAGCCAACCTGAGGAGGAAAAACAGAAACTCGAGTGAACTCAAACGCGGTGTCGACCGTTTTATACATATTGCGGAAGTAAGAAAAATAATTGCGTTTTGCAAAAATATCGCTCGCGTCTGACAGTAACGAGTGTGAAAAAAAAAGTTAAGCCGGCACACGGCTTACGTTCATGTTAATCGTGTTAACGTCGCCGTAAGTATCCAGGTGCATTTTATACTTACGCTAACAAACATCAACATTATTGTTAATTAATTCACGAGGGTACGCCGAGCGAGTAACATATTATCATAGTTTTATACTGAACTAATCACAATACGGTGAGACCTTTAAGCCGTTTAATATATATATAAATATTTTGTTTTGCTTCCTCAAAGAGGATGCTACGGTTTGCTAAATTTTTTTTTTTCCAATTTCGGATTGTGAGTACCACCAGATTATGTATCGAAAACAGAACACTTGGAATTCTGTCTATTTTGTGTGTTGGTCTGTGCAATTCCTATGTCCGTCAATAGCGTCTATCCGGATTTCAGTTTTTTTTCAAATTAAAATTTAGGCTGGTAAAGCTGTTTAATGAGTCATCTTAAGTTACACATTTGTCCGTATTTTTGTCGTAGGAGTGATTTTTCATTTCATAATAAATGAAAATTGTTATATTTTAACTAGAATTAAACAAAATACATTATTGATTCGCGAGAGACCATGTTGTGCGTTTTTACTACTTAATTTTGTACATGGACGTTAACACACCCATTTTCTTTTTTTAAATTAAAGTATTAATCGTTCGACTTGAAACTTATAATAGCGTTGAGTTTTTAAGAAATTGTTCCAACCTATTTATTGATCCATTAAAATTATTCAATTTTCAAAAAAAGAGACCTGCTACAGGTTATCAAGCGAATTTCGAAACGATTACTTTAAGGTGTAAAAGAAAGTAGAATTAAGATGAACATTAACACGATTTTTTTTTTTACTTTCTTTTTATGTTCTAAGTTTACAAATTACTTCATTCTTAATCTTTTCCTATTCGGTAACGAAACTTATGCTTCTTTGGGCTTTTCATTTACTTAGTTGATCGGTAATAGAAATAAACAAATCTCTTAGTTAGGAAATATAACATGTCGCTAAGACAAAAATTATTTTATTTTTTACTCAATTGAATATACGAAAGACTTTAACGTGCAATATTGTATTATGTATATAAATTATTATTAATATATACAATATCGTGTTTACAGCTAAAACTTATTTACGAAAAGAGCAATTTGTTTTCATAATTTTTAATATATGTAACACAAATCACGAATAACACATAGACACAATCAAGGACACACTGAGCTTGTTTTGAAAACAAATCTTTTTAGAACATTCCAAAACAGTTGCTCACATGGTTGAGCCGCAAACCAAAGAATTAACTAAATTCGCTTCTGGATTAGTCCCGACCTCGATTAAAATGTTTAATTTAAACAAACAACTTTACTGAACACACTTTAATTACATTTATGACGTAGTTCGGACTTTTTCTCTTTAAGCTTTCAAAAACATCGCAAGGAGGATTTTTAGCAAAAAATAGTAAATACAAATATTATATATAAATATATTTTTTAGCCATAAGTAGTTTAAATCACTTTAACTATGGTTTAAAAACGTGACTATTATTGAGTTAGCCGAATATTTTTTTTTTGTGTAATGGTCAGTTTTTTTAAAAAAGTATACATAAAATAGTTATATATGTTAAAAAAACACATGTCGCATCGCCGGGTGTATTTTTTGGCTTAACGACGATAAAAAACCTTTCAGCAATAAAATTCTGAAAAACAAGTAGCCGATAATTTATCGATTCCGATTGTGAATTTTAATTTAAGGCCAGCAATTCTTTCCTGTTTAAGTGACACGCGTATTGCATATTTATACGAACAAATCGAAGAGAACTTTTTTTGTTAAGTTTGATATTTATTTCTTTTTATTTCCTACGTGCTTTGCTTATGCAATGTATTTTACTAGCTCGCGACCGACTATTTTAATTTGAATCTGAGTTCTCTGTATTAATTTAAATGTTTTTTTTTTAATTATAATTTTTGTATTTACTTGAAATTTATTACATAAACTTCACTCAATCCGTGGTATTAATCACTTATTTTTTTGGTTTACGACAACGGTTTGTGTGTGTGCCGTTTTATTAATTCTCACTTCAAGTAGACTGTTGTTAGCTTAAATCGGAAAGTCTCTCAATTCCAACTAGTAGCTACTCTAACTTTAGTAACACGAAATCTAATTAAAAACAAACAATTTTAGAAGGATGTGTCTTTATATCTCGAGTACGGCAAAGTTTAATAAAATAACGAACAATTAAAAAAAAATGGAATAATGTATTATTTGAAATGAAAAAAAAAAAATTTCTCATCCAACTAAAATGCTTTATTTGGTAATTTAAAAAAAAAAAACATTTTATTCAAATGAACTATAAATAAATATTTTCGATTAAACAATTTATTTTTAATTCTAAAATATAATAATAGAGTGGTGTAGTTTTTTAAAATACGTTTATTATGAGAATTATTATTAATTATTATATTAGAGTTGAGTGTTAATAGTGATAAATCATTATGTTTTCCTATCAGGGTCAGACGTGGTGTTAATGAAATGGTGGATGTAAGTGTTTTTTCGCCTTATATTATTGAAAATCAATAGTATAATCTATTTAATAATAGAGTTGCTAGTCCAGAGATTTAAATTTAATAACTAAATTTAATGTTCCTCGAGTGCCTTTTCGCTTTTGCCTTCTGTTTTATATACCTACTCATATACAGAACTATAGTAGTCACTCTCCGCTTAATCGCATTCTTGGCTTGTGTAATTCAATTGATAACTTTGATTTCCGTCACGATTAGTTTTATCTATCGATTAGCTTTATTATGGTCTGCATGTTATAGTACTTTAAATTCGTAATACTATTTACTTATGTTTGTTATTTTACTATTCACCGGTTACAAAGTGTTAAGAGCTCGGGAATTCGACACTGCGTACAATACTTAAAGCCAACTCACATTACCCACTCAAATAAAAACTAAAAAGTTCCCTAAAATATTATGCGTATGTTTGCCCAAGTTCGTTTTTTATAGGACTACTGAAATAACTCGTACACAAACCTCTACCGTATGAAGTTGTATTTTTACGTTGTTTAAAAAAAAATGTAAAATACAAATTTAACTTACTAAAAAAAAAACCGGACTAAAAAAAAAATCTAAAAAAATAAACCTTGGTTAGTAGTTAGTTGCGCCTATGCATATTATATTATAAAATATAGTTGATGCGTACAAAATTCTAAGGATAACGCGTACAGCGGAGGTCGTGACGTTTAAAATCAAACTAGCGGTTTTATTTTTTAGTACTTTGAATAGATAATAATATAGTACGTTGGATGGGTATTATAAAGTGTTATGTATGCACGTGCACGCGCGCCGGCAAATGTGGTTAAACAAAATTTAAGATGAAACCTCGGCGGTAATAACTTCGGCGCCATCGACTCGCAAAACTATGAACGATAATTATTATTAAACAGCGAACGCGGTTCGGTATCGCAACAAATAATATTGTCCTTTATTATTGCCGCAAACAGGAAGAGCTTTGGTAACGTTTCGACCGTAATTCGAAGCATATTTGATTCTTGTTCGATTTCCTCCCAGGATTTCGGTAATAACATAATAATGTACATATGTGCGCAGTCGTAAATCTATTATTACTATAATAATTGCATTACTATAATCCAGCGTTTGCCTTTCGAACACGCGAGACCGTGGTAGTGGTTTCCATTGAATCCGGATGCAAAGGTCGCAAAGCCGAGGCCTATAATAAATCCTACACGAATATTTATAATATATATATATATATATATACTATAAATATATAATAATAGCGGATGAAAATATTACGTTAAGAGACGAAAAATGATTGTCACGACGATTATGTCGTGGCTTCATGTGAGAAGGCACACACATACGAAATAAATCCCGGTTTAATTTTCCAACTATAGCAGTTTTTTTTTTGCTCTCTCGCTTTACTCGTGCTCTTGTCTGTTGTTGGCCTCGTGAATGCGAATTCTGTCATTTGCCGTTTCACACATATTATTAAATCGTGCACACTCGCCCGTGGAGCCACACACCATTAGGGGGGCCAGTGAAAATATGATCAATTAAGCCCAGACCGAGTGAACGTACAATTATTTTTATTTCATTATTATAATTTTACAAACGCATTCCATCGCGACCGAACTCCGTACGCGTGTGCGTGAATTGCAGACAAGTCGACCGTACTATAACGTTGCTCTCGACAAAAATTTGTTTTTGTGTGAATTTATCAATTATGGAGTTAACCGCCGTCGCAGAGAAACCCATGAAAAGTATTTTCTTTCCTCGAAAAAATATACCAAACTGGAAATTAACAATCGCAAAATAATGATTTAGTTTAAAATCTTAGTCTTTCTAGTCTTTTTCCAAATCCTCCGAACATTGAAGTCCTTTTATCCCGTTGACGCACCCTGGCCGAGGCCCTGAGAAGTTGTTTTCTGAGTTCTGTGAGTCGAGCGTTCACCAGGACGGAGGGAGGATTTTTTTCCCAGCATTTGGGTCGGTAGTCGCCGCCTTTGTTTCTTGTCTCGAGATCATTGTGCCGCAAAATCGGAGCTAAGTCGGCCATGCACACACAATCACGGTTATTTTAGCTGTTCGATATTTCAATTGACTCATTGTTAGCTATTTAATGTCAGCTCCGTTAGGTTTTATTGCTGTTAAGATTTTAACACTAGTACAAGTATGATATAGATTAATTATGTTTTATTTTAATAATTTTGTATTATTTTTTACTATTTATTATTGTTATTATGGAAGTGTAGAATCAGATTTTATACATAGATATTTATTGAAGTTGCTGATACGGTATTTTTCAACAAACGTTTGCTTAACGGACTTAAACCCGTAAGATCGACTTACGCACTGCGCTCTGTTTTGGAC